CCCCCCCCCCCCCCCGAGCCGGCCCGGGTGAGGGCGGCCTCCCCTCACCTGAGTAGAGGCTCTGCAGGTGGCCAGCCTCCGTGACGGGGAAGCCCACGGTGACCTCGTCAAACTCCCGCAGGAACTCCTCCTCCTCCACCCAGAACTCTCCTTCCTGCAGCTGGGACAGCAGCGCAGCCTCGTCCGCGGGGTCCACCCGGCTCCATCCTTCGCCCCTGGAAGACGCTTCGCTCAGAGGCGCCTGCCATCCGACAGCGGACAGAGCTCGGGGTGGCTCTGCACCGGCCCTTCCGCAGGGCAGGAGCCTCCCTCCCTCCCCCAGGGGCTCCCGTCTGTGGACACATCTCTCCGCGAGCCGGTGAACGAGAGATGTCAGGCGGGCCCAGGAGCAAGCGTCGGCTCTGGGGACGGGCCACACTGGCCACGGGGAGCGGGCCCGGTGCCCTCGTTCAATCCAGCACCCCCGCACCAGTGAAGGTCAGGAAGCTGAGCTGAGCACTCCCACGTCCCCGTCACCCGCAGCCTGACGGGGCAGCTACCATTCCGAGGGCGCCCGTTGGACAGGACCCCGGGGCCCGGGGTTGCCTCGGTCCCAGCACCCAGCATGAAACCGGCCTCCCGAGGACGTGTGGGCCGAGCCGGTGCCAGGCGGGCCTCACGGGGGGCCAGCCGCGCAGCGTCCCGACCGCGTGAAAAGGGCATGGCACAAGCCACGGGCCCTGGAGCCCAGGACACACTCGGCCGTGGAGGCTCTGAGCTGCCCCTCGGGCGCCCACGCTCACCCCGCTCTCCAGGGCCCGTGCCAGCACCGCCGGCCCCAGGGGTTCCGGATGCGCAGCAGCAGGAGGGCCCGGCCAGCCCGCGCCCGGAGCTCTCGCACATCCGACACGATGAAGGCGTGAAACTCGCCCAGCTCCCTGGCACCTGGCGGAGACACAGCTGGGAGGTAGGCAGGGAGTCCCCGAGCCAGGCAGACCCACGGCTCTGTCCCCTCCCCTGCAGGGTGCCTGGGCACCCGCTGTGGCCACGCCAGCACCCAGGCCCCCGTGGACCAACGTGGACAAGTGAGCTCAGAAGTGGCTCGGCCAGTGGGGAGCCACAGCGAAGGCTCTGGGTCTGGACTCTGAACTCTGGCTCGGCCGCCACAGGCCTGGCAGTCATTCCCTTCCCGGGGACTCGGTCCTCGTCCGGGCGGATGAGAGGGGCCGCAGGGCCCCGGTGCAGGCCTAGGTCTCAAACGGGCAGGCACCAGAGTTATCGGCGGCAGGTCCGTGACGGGTCTGCGACCGAGGGGAGCAAGCTCCCCCTGGCGAGGCTGGCTGGGGGCGCGGCCGGCTACTGCTGGACCAAACGCGGGCGGCGGGCGTGGGGGCAGGGGGGCTGGAGGCCCCAGAGAGGAAAGAACTCCATTTGCCCAGAGCCCTTGGGACACACAGATGTGCAAGAGGAGGAGCCAGAGAGTGACTGGAACTCCAGCTGGGGAAGGGGGATGGTGGTCCAGAAAGGAGAAGAAACTTCTGGAATGTCTTTAAAAGCTTTATTTACAACGGCACGGCACGGTAGCCACCACTCTGGGTGTCTGCCCCAGTCCTCAGGCCTGAGGCACGTCAGGGGGACCCTCTTTGCCTCGGGATTTCTGCAAAGCCTGGAGTGCCAAGAATTAGCCCCACCCCACCCTGGGGGCAGCTGATGCCAAGACTCGGGGAAGGTTCTAACGCTGCGTCACGCACAGCCTTCTGCGTGCTTCCCTCACTTCCCGAATGTGGGGGCAGACCCAGCCCTCACGCACAGGCCGGGCGACTCCACTGTCCACACGTGTCCATTCATTTCAATGTCCATATTCTCGGGCCAAAAGCTTCATTACGAAAATCACCTCGAACGCTCTCACACATGAAGATGTTCTGTAATGCCGTCTATAACGTGAGAAACTACACAGACCTTAGAGGTCCGGCACTAAGGAAAATACAACCACAGCACGTCCGAGAATGAAATGAGATGCTGACAGTTTACACAGCACCTGAGAAAACGGCATACGGTACAAAAATGCAAAACATACCCGTGTTTGTGAGAAAAAACCTAGCAAAATCCATGAAAACATCAAAGGAGCTGTGTTTACGAGTTTTTTTCCTTTCAACAAGGTCTCTGATGAGCACAAGTGCCACTAACGTGAGAAGCTCGTGCTGACTTTGCCGGGTCGCCGGCGGGGCCCGTGTGGCCGCCACCCGTCTCCTACCAAGTCCCCGCCGAGGCTCAGGCCTCACCCTAGCACTGAGTCGGGGAACAGGGACACCTCCCTCCGGAGAGCAGGTGGCAGGGGCGGTCACACACCAGACACCAGCTTTGAAGGACAAATGTGTCGCTGTCCACTCGGCCCTGATGGGGCCCAAGCAGAAGCCCCCCCTCACCTGCTCTGGGGCTGAGCACCGAGCAGCTTATGAGACAGCGGTCCTTGAGGCCGAGCAGCCGCCGACAGGTCCTGTGCTCCGGGCCGCCGGGCCCGCCCTTCAGGCTCCACCTCTCCGCCAGGCCGCCGGTGAGGTCCACCAGGGCGTCCGCCACCTGCCCCGCCCACAGGAGTTCGTAGGACCCGCAGACCCTGGGGACACGGCCGCAGCGAGTGAGCTCCTGCCCGGGGCAGGGAGCCCGCCGCGCCCACGTCCCCCGCCCGCCACCTCAACCGCCTCTCTCTACTCCCGCCTCGTACTCCTCAGGACCAGACGCTGTCTGACCCTCAGAGGCCGCAACGCACAGCGGCCCCGCGAAGCCCCGCCGCCTCCACGCGGACTCGAGCGCGAGGGGTGCGGGGCGTGAGCCTGTGAACACCCACCCCTGCGCCTCTGGAGACCAAACCCCACAGCGGCCACGGGATGGAGGGCCCTCCCCCCTCCCTCGGAGCAGAGGCCCTGCCAGCGCAGCCTCCGGGCTGAGGGGGCGGGGGGCGCTTCGAGTCAGACCCTGGGCGAGGGGCGTGGTCTCAGGCAGGACCAGGCTACACAAGCCCGGAGGCCCGGGTGGCCTCCCACCATTTCCAGCGGTGGGACACGCACGCCCCTCCCTCGGGGGTGACGCCTCCACGCCTGGCTTAGAAACGAGCGCCGAGAAAGAGGGCGCAGCGGGGACGGGGCCAAACCCCAGGCCGGGCGGGCATGTGCTCCCCGGGGGCGACCCGGGCAGCTGCGGCTCCCTGCCCACCCCGACCCTGCAGCCTCCAGCACGCGTACTTGGCGTAGACCTTCTCCAGTAAGGGGAGCCAGAATACATCCTCTCTCTGGCACCGGGAGAAGCAGAGTCTCCCTGCAAGACAAGGCAGACGGTCATCTATGGTCACCTCCACCCAGCGTCCAAACTGCCACACTCGACAGGTAAAGGAGCCCCGGTACGTCTGGTCGAGCCAGCTCGGCTGTCCCGGAGGGATGACCTGCCGCGCACGGGGAAAGGCAAAAGGAGACCGTGAGAGGCAAAGCACACGGTGCCCGCCACGCGTCTTCAGCGGGGCCGTCCCCCGGGGCCCTGCGGGTCTGCGCAGGGCCGTCCTCTACTGCCCGGACGCCGGGGCGTGCGGGGAACCCAGTCATCCCACGGAAGTAACCGACTCTGCAGTGTAAGTATCTTGGGGCCACACTGAGGGAGCCGAGTGTCTCCAGGAGCTTAAAGCCACCATCATGTCCTACTGTCCCAAATAAGCACTCGACCTGAATCCAAAACCAACGTGACTCTTACGGGCACGAGTGACCCAATTGCCAGCACAGCCGGTGGCAGACAGCGGGTCACTGCGGGCACAGCAGCCCCCGGCTGGAGGCCGGTGCCCCAGGACCTGAGCGGGCACATCCACTGCCCGCCCTGGTGTTCTGGCCCCACACGGTGGGCTTTGCCCTGGACACGCTTGTCTGGCCCCGGGTCGGCCGCTCCCCAGCTACAACCGCGATGGCCATGGTTTTAGCGCCCTCACTTGTGAACAGGGGTCAAAGCCAGCAAGGCCCTGAGAGCCAACGCCAGCACCTACGCTGTGCAAGCACAGCCTGGGACACGGCGGGGGGGGGCGGTGGTGGTGTCTGAACGGGTCGCCACCGTCAGTCTTGATGCATTATCAGTAACATTCTAGTAACAGCCAGACAAAGCTGTGGTGCTCCCAGAGAGGCATTCCCGGCGGCCCTCCACCCTGCGCCTGTAATCAAACCCCTGTAATCACCTTTTGCCAATTTATATGCAACATGTTAAAAAAAACACCACCACCACCGACCAGCTGGGGAAACTTACTCCAAACCCAGGGCCTTCCTACCCTGGGCCGCCTGCTCATCCATGCACCCCTCTGAGGGCCCCGGAGGACAGAGCAGGGCGGAAAAGCATGGGGAGCCCCGGGGAGAGGGGGATGTGGTGTCTGTGCCCTGAGACCCAGTGGCTGAGAGCAGAGCCCTCCCTCCCCAGCAGCCACGCGGGGAGACCACAGCAGAGCCCACAGAGCAGGAGGCTCGGCTGCCCTGCCTCCCGCTTCCTTCCTGTGCGCAGCGGCAAGGAAGACAGAGCAGCGAGCGCCGCAGGACGCAGGTACCTGCTCCAGGAGGCGCTGGCTCTTCTGCAGGGCGGCGCAGGCGCACAGCAGCCAGCAGTCTCCCAGCAGCCCCTGCTTCACCTGTCCTTCCTGCGGGTCATCTGCAAACAGCCTGGGGGTGGCACACAGCTCCTGAAATGAAGAGTACCATCCAGTCACACCCGTCCCAAGGCTAGTCTTTAAAACGAAGAACACGGGATCTAGGTGACAGGCGCAGGGGAGGAGCTTTTCCGGTCGGCCGCATTGCCTAAGAGGGGAACGGAAGCAGCCGCCCCTTGCAGCCTCCATCTGTCAGCCCGCCCGGCTTTACATCACCCCGTCCGGCTTAGGTCCTAGGGTCCCCTCTCCGTCTACCTTCATTGAGTGGCGAAACCCCAACTCAGGATGAATCCACCGCCCGCCTTCTCCAAACAGCTACCTGTTGGCCTAGAAAACGGTCTCACTTCAAATCCACAAGGACAAACTCGAATGCGTCCTCCCCACTGCTGGGAACCCTGGTTTCTCTAAGAGCCTTAGCTGCCCACACCCCAGCCTACCTCATTCCTGCCCCGCCCCCCTCTTCTCGACACTTCTGTACTGCTCCCCTTGCCTGTGCCCCTCTGAGCTGATGACCTGGCAGAAGCTTCATCAGAAGCAACCTGACTTGACCCCCTCTTCTGTCTCCAGAGCCTGCGCTCCTCCCATGACCCCCTCCCTCTCCCACCCCCGCAGGCAGAGTCCCACCAGCATAAGGCAGAGAGAGCCCCCATCCTCTCTAACATACTGTCCCCCCTGCATGAGCTCCCCCCAGGCGCCCCTTCACTGACCGACTTCTTGCACAGCTGCCTCATTGCTTTCTCCCTCCTCGTCCCTCAGCACAGGCCCCTCCAGCAGGCAGCCCTCTGCACTCGTCCCTCCGGACACCTGGAGGCAGCAGAACGGGGGCTGTGCCCGGGCACGTCCCCACAGTCCCCTCCCAAGCTGTCCTTTTACCTCACTGCCTGCTGCTTCCCGAGGGTGCCTGCCAGGGCACCTGCCGGGACACGCTCAGACTCGGAAGGGTCGCTCAGGGCTCAGTTCCAAGCCCTCTCTTCTCCCCCAGCCCCACTGTCTCCTGAGACTCTCTTCGGGGCCCTGGGGCCTGTGACAGTCCCCATTCCCAGACGGAACCTCCAGCCCGGAAGGTCCTGCGTGCCCCACTCTCATGCCCACCTGCCTCTGACAGCTCTGCAAACCCCACCCCCTCCCAGCGTCCTGGAGCACATCAAACAGGACCACCATCTGCCCAGGGGCTCGGCCTCAAAGTCTAGGGTCGTTCCTGAGCCCTGCTGTATCCTCACTCTACTTTCAGTTGGTCAGTAAGACCTACGAATCCCCCTGCAAAGTATTTCTCAACCCCTGCCCCCCTCCCCCCCCTCGCCCCGTGCGAAGCCCCAGCCTAGCGGTTTCCACGCCACCGCGAGCTCTACACCGCTCCTGCGCTGGCCACCTGCGTGCTTGCCCCGTCAGCCCCCTGCCCGGCCAGCAGGAAAACTGAGCTTCTTAAAACATAAACCCAGTCCAATCGCTCCGCTGCTACAACCCTCAATGGCCTTCCAAGGTGCCTAAGACCCATTTTTAACCCAAATCCCACTGGCATGGCCCATAAGGCTCTTCATGCTTTGGCCCTCGCCTCCTCCCATTCCAAACAGGCACTTTCCAGGTGACCCCAGCTGCTCTGGCTATGAGGGCTTGCTGGCCACGCCGACTGTGCCCCTGCAGGCAGGGGTGGGTGGTACCTGACATGTCTTACTCTGCGGATACACTGCTTCTAAGGCTTATCAACACAGCACCAGACCGAGCATCCCTGCAAACTGCCACCTTAGAGCGTTTACATCTGAAAATGAGGGTGCACGAAGCCCGAAAACAATGCTTTGTAGGCTCAGGCTGGCCCTTCCAGAAGGCCACAGGCGTAGCGATACCAGCACACACAGGCCACAGGACAGGCCCGCTGGCGGCCGGGAGGGCGGCGCGCACCAGAGGCGAGGTCCGGTCAGGCGCCCGTCGGGGCAGAAGCGGGGCTGGGTTTGTGGGGCCGGCCCTCCCGCCGCGCCCCGAGGCTCCTCGGGGGGAGGGCCAGGCGCTGGTCCGGCCGCACGCCGGGGGCGGGCCCGGCGCGGAGCTCCGAGGGGCTGACCCCGCCGGGCCACCCCCTTCCCGGGCCAGCGGATGCAGACGCGGCCCCCTGCCGCCGCGCACCCCGCCGGAGCGGCGCCCGGGGCCGCACCTGGGGCCTCCTCCACGTGATGTCCTCACGGAACTGGGCCAGCGGCGTGGAGAAGCTGGAGAACAGTGAGGAGTCCGAGGCTGGGAAGTCGGCGTCGCGGAAGAGCTCCCTGGCCGGCGTCCGCATCCTGCGCGCTCCGGAACCCGAGTGACAGCCCGGAAGGAGAGCGAATCCGCCGCGCGTCCGGGCGCGCGCCCGTCCCGTCGCCGCGGTAACCGCCGGGCCACGTGACACAGCGGCCCAATCGCATTCGGGCGGCGGATTCCCAGCATCCCGCCCTCGGGGGCGTGGCTACCGAGCTGGCCTCTCGCGAGACCTTTCCACCGCCCAGGCTGCCCTTCTCCCTCCCCGCAGTGTGTGCGAACGGACCCGGCGGAGATTCCACCCCGGAAGGCTGACGGGCTTAGTGTCCTCGGGCCGGTGCAGCTCGAGCTGGGACGTCGGTGCCTCTTGGACTCGCGGTTTTCGGGGCCGAAGGGACCGGAGAGGCCTCTTCTGCCGGGGTCCAGGCCGCGAACTACAGGTCCCAGCATGCCGCATCGCCTCCCAGAATGCTCCGCTCGTCCCGCCGCTTGGCTGTAGGTCGGGCCGCCTGTTGGGGGAAGAAGCCGGGGAATGAGCGCCGCGGCTCGATTGAGAAGACGGCGACGGGTCGCGGTGGTGGGCTCCCCGAACCGAACCGGCCCGCGGGGGGGCGGGGGTCCCTCGGGCCTAGGCGGCTGTCTCGGGGCCCTCTGGGGTCAGCCGCGCTGGATCCCGAGCGGGGAAGGGGATGAGGCCGCAGCAGATGGCCGGGCATCTGGTCCTGGTGGGCAGGAAAGTGACCTGCTAGATGTGCGGCCATAGCGCATGGCCCCTTGGTGCTGCTGGGAGACGAGGACAGTACTTGGAGGCTGGTCGGATCGAAGCCCTTGTGCCGTCCGATCTGAATAGTCCCTGCTGCCAGGAAACAAACTGAACCCGGTGCTGGAGCCTCAGCCCCAGGTTCCCGTGACAGCCGCAGCTCGTCCCTCCGAGAGGCCACGACGGGCCTGCACGAGCGGCAGCTGCTAGCGGTGGTGTGACACCCACACGCTATTTGGGGGCCTAGGTATTGATGTTGTGGTTCTAGAAGAAAGCTACATAGCTCAGCACCCGCCTCTGGGGTGCTGGGACTTCACGACCATTTAGCATCCCTATGGCGGTAGCTCCCCCAGAAGATGCTCCCGCCTCCTTGGCAGGCCGGTGGCTGCACTGTCGCTGAAGGGAATCTGGAAGGGCCCTGGGCTCTGCTTCATGCAGGGATCCTGAAGGAGTAAGAGACAAATTTCCTACCCGGCCTGGGGTGCTGGACAGCCGTTCCCCCATGTAACACTTTGGGGTGGTTAGCGGCAGAACTGAAGCCAGCCCGGGATCTGGCCTGTAGGTAGCGGCCTTTGCTGTGTCCCTCACCCAGGCTCGCGAGGTCTGGAGAGCAGGCAGCCTCTTACAGACATGTCATTGTCCAGGGCTGGGCCCATGCCCAGGGAAGGGGCCAGCAGACAGCTGGTGCTGGGGAGGCGTTAGCCCAGGCCTGGAAAGGCAGGCGAGTGACCCGCGCTAAGATGGCCTTAGGCCTGCCTGGCACAGCTCCCGCACCGCCCTTACCCCGTGTGTCCTATGTCCCCCTCTGCCGCTTGGGCCCACCCCCAGCCCTATGCAGAGGGGGTCCCGTGGCTTCTGGAGTACTAATAGGAGTTGGAGGCGGCCTGAGGGGTGTGGCAAGGTGTTCCGGGGCAGCTAGTTCGTGACCCCCAGTTCCCACAACCCCAGGCCCTTGCAAGTGTGAGCCTCAGGGTCGTCACTGTCAGGTGGGGATGCCACCCTTATGTCACAGTGCTGTTTGGAGGTTACAGGAGAATGAAGGTAAAGTTTCCCCAGCCGTCAGGCAGGATCAGCCTCCCTACTGACCACCCCCCCCCCCCGCCCACGGGAGGTGTGCAGCCTCTGACCATTTCCTTTCCCAAGCCTGTGGGTGTCACGGGTTCTGTGGAATCTGGAACCTGCCTGCCCCCCTCCTCCCTCCCCAGGTTATCACTGCTCTGGAGTTTCTGCGCTCGTGGCTTTGCCCACACTTGTCCCTGGATGACCGTCCCTGTTGTTCTTCAAGAGGTGTGTTCTCTGGGTTCGCAGCTGGGCTGGCGGTTGTCTCTTCCAACCCCCACATCGCTTCTGGTCACTGGGCAATAACCAGGCACTGCATCCGCATGCGGACACAGAGATTAAAGCTTGTATCCTGCCCACACGTCACCTGGGGGGGGGTGCCCCATCCGAGCCGAGGTGACAGCCCGCCCGCCACATCCTGTTAGGATCCAGCGGGTGGCTGACCCCGCCTCCCCAGCAAGAGGCCACCTCAGTTGCTGCAGTTGAAGTCACCCAGGGAACCTGGACCTCTCCATGGCTCCAGGTCAGAAGTTTTAGAGATGGGTGTGTGCCCCAGCTCAGGGCGAGACATGGGGACAGCCCTCTGGGGGGCCGCCGGGAGTCTCTGCCATCTCCCAAGGACATGCGATGGCATTTTCTCTTGTAACCCACCTCGGATGCCTGTGTGTGGGAGTGTGGGGACAGAACCTGCTGCGGTCAGCTGGTGACCACAAGGGACAAGCCAGAAGACAAAGGCCAGTGTTCCAGAGACTCCGGAGCAGACAGATGACGAATCTGGTGACGTCCTCAGCTCCTGAACTTGCTGGTGCTAGAATCCTCCACTTTGGGATTTCTGGTCATAGGTTATAAATGCAGTTCTATTGTTTGAGTAAATCTTGAATCAAATCTGTTGACACGTAACTGACCTTGTGCAGAGACGTCTATTAATTATCTACTGCTGTGTGTCCCCCAAGCTTAGGAACTTAAAAAGGCATTTGTCATGTCACAGTTTCTGTGGGTTAGGAATGTGGCGGCGACCCTGGTGGGCGGTTCTGGCTGAGGGGCCCGCAGGAGATAGCAGCCAAAAGGTCGGCCAGCACTGAAGCCATCCGGAGGCCGGCTGGAGCTGGCGGCCTCCGTTCCTTGCGTGGACCTTCATGAAGCTACTTGGGTGTCCTCACAGCATGGCGGCTGGATTCTCCCGGCGCAAGAGATCCGAGGGAAGGGAGGGCGGAGGCTGCAGTGTGTTTATGCCGCAGCTCGGTGTCCTGCTCCCTGGCTCCTATGGCCTGCCTTTCACCCAGTGCAGCCTGTACTCCAGGGAGGGGGCATCAGAGAACCTGTGGACACACGTGATGCCCCCAGTAGGCCCCGAGGGGTGAGATGAGCGTGTGGTGTGTGCAGGAGACAGGTGAGCAGTTGGGGAGCCCCGGGCTCTGACGCGGCCCAGATGTGCTTTAAGGGATCTCGCCCTGCGCGGTGGGCTCAGAAGAAGGCACTCGAGGCCGGGGTGGGAGAGCGAGCCCGGACGCCCAGGTTCCGAACCAGCAACGGAGAAGGAGATTTCGTTTCTTTGAAGGTGCTTGGTGACTAGTCACGTGAGTCAGAAAAGGCGGGCGTGCCACGGGCTGGTGGTGCCAAGTGAGGCAGCCCGGGGCCCCACGGGAGGACTAGCCTCAGGCCCCGCCGGTTTAGGAAGCTCCTGGGACTCCTGCTAAAGGACAGTCTTTGTCCAGGGTCGGGCCCGACACGGAGCTGGGGCAGGCCCCTTCTCAGCTTCGCTGGCGGGTGTGAATTACCGGCCGTGTCTGGCCCACAGAACAGTGCGGGCCCTGTTTCTCACACCCGGCAGCCGGAGAGGGGCCGTGTCCTCATCGCGTGGGCTAAGCTTTCTCTCGGGGAGTCTCCAAGTCAGGGGGAAGGCACAGGGGCGAGGGCCCACAGCCTGCAGGGGCCGCCTCCACCGGGCTCGCCCCACAGCCAGCAGCCCTCGGAACACCGAGGGGTGGCAGGAGCCTGGGCCACCGTCCCAGTCGGTCCAGGGTCCCGGAGCCTGGAGCCACCTGAGCTAGGATTCTCCTGGCCGCCCGTGGCCACAAACCCCGTGGTACAGAGGACCTAGGGTGGTAGTGAGGGTTAAATGAGAAAATGCAAAGTGCTTGGCTGGTCCCGAGCTAGGGGGGACGGTCACTGAGGGTCGCAGTCCTGGGCTGTGGGGGGCGGTCAGCGAGGGGCACAAACATGGACTGCTTCTCTGGGCTCATCCAAGGCTGAGTGGGCGTCAGGCCCTAGAAGCCCAGGTCTGTCCCTTTCCCCGGCTAGAAGGTTCCAGCAGAAGGAATCTTCCCCGGCCGGCCTGGAACAAGGCCGCCTTTGCCTTGCCTGCCTCGTGGTCAGTTCTCCAAGGAGTGGGTTCTGCCTCTCAGGGCTCCGAGGGTCCAACTCCTTTGAAACACGCTGAGTGTGGTCCTTACACATCCCAAAGGGAGGAGGCGGTGGCCCAGGGGTGCAGCGCTGGAGCCGGGACACCGCCAGCGCCCCAGACCAGGCGGACCTTGGCCACTGTGCCCTCCGCGACAGAGAAATGAGTTCTTTTCAGGTGATGTTTTAAGTAAACAATAACAAGAAACAAACATGATTGTTTTCCATAAAAATAATACAAGCTCCTAATAGAAATCCCCCCTCCCCCAACTGTTGCTCCGAAGTGGCCCTAGGGTCACGAGCACAATGAGGACCACCTTCATCGTGGGCTCCGGTTCTCCGACGTGAGCCCACCTCCAGCCCCGGCTGTTCTGTGCAGATGCTCAGTCTCCAACAGGGACCTGTTTCTGTGGGCCTGGGGCGGGGGCGGGGGCGGGGGGGGGAGGCCTCACTTTCCCGCTCTCGGCTTCTGCTCTCCTGGGGTCTGGGCAGGTGATGGTGACAGAGAAAGTGGGCCGGGTGACGGTGGGGGGTGGGTGTGAGGGTTAGGGAGGAGCCAGGCTCAGGGAAGTGTGACGGGGAAGAGAGGGGAGGAGCAGAGGGGAGGCAGTGGCTAAGGAGAGGCTGGGCATGGGGTGGGGGTGGGGGTTAGGGGGTAAGGCCAGAAGGAAGGCCGGCCGCGGAAGGAAGGGCAGAGTGAGGGTGTCTTGATTAAGCTGAACGTCGTGTGGCTTTATCTGGCTCTCCATGACCCCTGGTCTTAAGGAAATTCTGCCAAACGTCTCTGTGTTTACCCTTTTACATTCCTTTGCCAGTTCTGGGAACATTCTCTGCCCTGGTATTCCAGCCCGTGAATCCTCTCTGCCTTGTGACCGTTCTACTGAGGTGTTGTTTTTTTTTTGGGGGGGGGTCATTGGTTTTTTTAAATCTTCATGATTGACACTTACAACAATTTCTAAAGCCTCTGCCTGGTCCTCTTTCCCATCTCCCAGTCCCGCCAGTGCCGATCCTGGTCTCACAGTTTATGCCGCCCCCCGCCCCCCGCCCCCCACTCCACACCCCCCACCCCGCGTGGTGGAGACTTTAATTTCATGTGTTGCCACGTCCTCTGACCACTCTGCCTACTGTTCCCTCGGGTGGCAGTTGGGTCCGGCGGGTGTTGACCCTCTTTCACACGGCTGGGGCTCTCCCGGGGGTGCTGGGCTGGGCATTATCATTAGACCTGAAGGCCACCCAAGCCTTCTGGTCTTAGGAAAGGGGCCTCCCCGCAGTGAGTCCTGGAGAGAGTGGGGAGCACTCTGGGGACAGGGCTGGACTGCACAGGACGCGGCCCGAGGCTCCCTAAGGACCAGAGGCTCCTGGCAGCGTGGGGCGCCACATGCAAACCCGTGGCCTCCCCACTTCCTTCCTCAGGTGGCGGCTCTCCTCACAGCCCCACCTTCCTTGGCAGCAGCAGAGCTGATGCTCATGGGCACTGCTATCCCCTGTCGGGACGTCACCCCCTGCCCCACCCCGTGGCTCCATCGACATCACTCTCCTACCTGCCTGGCTGCTCCCTTGTCTGTCCCAAAAATGCAGCCAGTGTTCTGCCCTCAGCCCTGTGTGGTCACTACTGCCGTGTGTCACCCCCCTCCTGTGCATGTGGTGGTAGTGGCCAGTGTGAGCCCCTCCCTGGCTCTCCCGTATCTCTGGCGAGGTGCCTGGAGTGCTCCAGATGTCCTCTCCTTTGTCAGCAGGGCGGGTCCCTGAGGGGCGACAGTGACGGGAAGGCCACCCCCTACCAGCCTGTAGCCGAATGAGAAACACACCTTGTGCAGACGTATTTCAGAGGTGTTGCTGGAGCGTGAATTAGCCTGTGGCCTAGAAACCAGCCCCTAGTAGGGGGTGCCACTCTATCAGAACACAGGACACGTGTGCCGTGGGCATGGGGCCGGTGGGCTGCTCTGGAAGCCGGAGCGTCGGCAGGTGGTGTTCCGCGGTGGCACAACATGGTCAGCGCCGGCTGCAGTGACTCACAAGGCAGGTGATGTGTGACGCACTCACAACCCTGGTGGGAGAGTGGCAGCATGTGCTGGTCACAGGCTGCCTTGAGCAAGAGACTGCAAGGAGGAGGTGGACCCAGAAAGGGTTGCCCGGGCTGCGAGCTGGGGGGGTCAGGGGCTGCGAGCTGGGGGGGGAGGCATGTCGAAAGGCCAGGAACGCAGGGCCTCCCGGGGCTGGGAGTGCTCCGGCTCACCCCAGAGGGTCGCTCAGAGCCAGGACTGCGACAAGGACATCATCAAGGAGAAGGGCGTCCCCCCACCCCCCTAGCTGTGACAGTTGGGAGTTGCTTCTGGGCTTTGCAGCGTCAGGAGAGAGCTGGCAGGTGGAGCGGCGGGCGTGCGTGAAGCGCCCCCAGCAGCAGCCAGGGAAACACCGTGGCCGTGGGGCTGCAGGCAAGTCTGTGGCAAGGCTGGTGTTGTTGAGAGAATCGAACTACCAAAGACCAAGAGCCCAAGACTAAAACGTGTGTGACCAGAGGCTTGACATCAACCTCCCCTCTTGCAGGGAAGGGGCTGAGAGAGCAGCTCAGCCCCAACAGGGCTCCTTGTTTGGGAAGAGTGGACCCTCTTGAGGGGCCTCTTACAGGGCACCAGGATTGCTGTGTTCTCCCTTCTGCAGGGATGTTGCTACAGCGGGCCTGTCCCCTGCAGGGTGGGTGGCCCGCCTTCCGGTTCCCAGGTTTCTGGGTTGAGTGGAACCCCACTCAGCCCTGGTGCGCACACCTGCGCTGGAGAAGATGCTGGGTACATAGGGATCGGGCCATCCCCCGGGGGGAGGGGTCTAGAGAGCGGATACTGGTGACCTGGCGGCTGGGTGTGGCGCTTCAGTCTTACCCCATCCCAGCCCCCTGGGCAGAGTGAGGCTCTGGGGCTGGGGCTGGCCAGTGGCTCGGGTGATGGGTCCTTTCCGGGCCCAGCATGAGGCTCTGCAAAAGACGGAGGTGCTGCCCCGTGAGGCTGAGCCGCTGGGCGATCGTAAGCAGAACCCGGCTCAGCCCTTGGTCTCAGTGGCTGCATCACACCCGCCGGTCACCCTCTGTGGTGGACTCCTGGGTGGAGCCCCTGGCCTTTCTCTGAGCCCCCCTCACACTTGTAGCGTCTGCTGCAGTGGTGCCAGTGGAAGTTCACCCTTGGGCATCCAAGATCAAACTTCCCCCCCCATGCATGCACCCCTGCCTTTACTCCAGCTCGGGATGGAGGCCACTCCTGAGAACGGCCTAGAGCGAGGGTGGTGACAAGTGGCCTCCTCCGCTTTGATGTTCCAGGGTCTGGGCGGAGTGGGCGGGGGTCGGCCTGCTGCTGGCCCTCAGAGCCGCGGGCTGCAGGGCAAGATCTGGGGCTTCTGAGGGCAGAGCCAGAAGCGGCTGGAGTGCAAAGGAAGACCCTTCGGCCCCATCAGCGTCCCCCTGCCTGAGGACCGGCCAGGGTGGCCAGGCGCACGCGGAAGACGAGCGGGGAGGAACAGGCTGGGGAGCTGTTTGCAGAGTGGGGGTTTAATGGGACGATCATGGTGACCCGGTGCAGGGCCCCCAGGCCTCTCCCTGCAGGCAGGCCTGAAAAGAGCACCAGCCCCCCTGCCCTCTCCCCTGGGGGGTGTTACAGCCCGGAGGCGTCCTGTCCTGGGGCCCGTGTTCCCTGAGGGGCTAAGGCTTTCCGGGGCGCCCTCCCCAGGGAGGTCCACCCTCTCCTCAGTGTCCCCTGACCCTACACGAAGGGCATGTCTGTGTCCTTGTCCTTGGCCAGGGGCCAGCTGAGGCTGCCCACCCCAGCAGCGGGGGCGGGACTCCGTGGGCGGGAGGCCCGGCGTGAGGAAGCGTGGCCTGGACTTCCGGCGGACGTAAGGCACAGTGTGGCAGTCGCCGTGGGACTGTGGGGCTGTCACCCCGGGGGCAGTGCCCGGCGGTCAGTGTCGAGACAGGCATGGCGCGTGCTGGCCTCTCCGGGGCCTGCAGTGCAAAGGAGCTGGGGTACCAGGTCCACCGCCCCGCCGGCCGCGAGGAAGTCCCTGGCCGAGCCCACAGCGGGGAGCTCGCGGCCGGAGCCGAGGCACAGTCGCGGCGGGCCCGGGGCCGCAGAAGGCACAGTCGTGGTGTCTGGGGGGCCGGGGCTAGGCAGACACGTTGACGTCCCTGAGAGAAATGGCGCCGCCGGGGGCCTCGTCCCCGAGCAGCAGGGCCGGAGCGTCCGGGTCCACCTCCGAGTCCGCTCCCGCGGCGACCTGCTCCGCGCCGGGCTCGGCGCCGGGGCCCAGGCCCTGGGACAGGATCTGCTGGATGGTCCTGCGCAGGTTGGGGTGAAGCCGGCCCTGGGTCTGGTAGAACACCTCCAGGGCGAAGGACTTGAGGGCGCCGGTGCAGAGGTCCTCGTACAGTGGGATGGTGTACATGCGGGACATCTGGGGAGGTCGGCACGCTGTGGCCCCGCCTCTGCCCCGCCCCGGCCCACCGCGCCCCGGCCCTGCCCCGCCCCGGCCCGCCCGACTGCGCCCTGGCCCCGCCCAGTCCAGCCCCGCCCAGCCCCGGCCCTGCCCAGTCCCGCCTAGCCCCACCCCACCGCACCCCGGCCCCGCCCCGCCCAGCCCCGCCCCACCGCACCCCGGCCCCGCCCCGGCCCGCCGCACCGCGCCCTGGCCCCGCCCAGTCCCGGCCCCGCCCCACCGCGCCCCGGCCCCGCCCAGTCCGGCCCCCGCCCGGCCCCGCCCAGCCCCGGCCCACCGCACCCCGGCCCCGCCCCACCAGTGCAGCCAGCCTGCACTCCCACCTCCCACCAGGGCAGGGAGGGCCCCGCTACAGGCCACCCCCCCGCAGAGGCCTTGTCTCCAGGGAGCCCGGGCTCAGGGGCCGGTGTGCGGAGGGGAGAGGCCGGAGCCTGGGACCCTCCGATGCTCCTGGGGCCACAGACCCGGGGCTGCCCTGCCCGCAGGCCCAGGACCCGGTATGCCTAGACCTGCAGACTCTGCTCCTGGCTTCCCCTCTGGAGGACACAGCCCCCTGGGGGCCTGGGGGTCCGGGCCCCTCCCACCTGGCCTGTGCCCCCAAGTGCCAACCCAGACACCAGCCACCCTCCCGGGTGCGCCGCCACCTGGGTGACGCGGGGGCGGGGCCTGTGCAGGAGGCCATACCTGGCTCTCGAGGAACCGCCGGACGCGGTGGAGGTCGGGGTAGTAGTCGTTGCGGACGACGATCTGCAGCCAGCGGATGCGGATCTCGGCGTTCATGGAGTCCAGCAGGGACGAGTAGCACTTGGACAGGCGCACCACCACCTCTGGGGGGCCACGGGCAGGTCAGGGCCGGGCCGGCACACTCCGCCCCGGCCGCCCGGCGGCTGCAGGACCTACCCTGGGGCAGCGGGGACCCATCCAGGAGCCGGTCCAGGAACAGCGCTGTCTGGAAGGTCCTCCACTTGGAGATGTCGATGGCGCTGGCGGAGGCGGCGGCCTGGTCCAGGGGCTCTGCGGTCCACAGCTGGAAGAGGGCCTCCACGGGCCGGGTCAGGCTGGAGCCCTGAGACAGGTCCGGCTCGGCCAGCGGGGGGCCCGTGGCGTTGAGCCAGCGCTCGAACTCCAGCCCTGCGGGAGATGCCGTCCTGGGGTCCCCGCCCAAAGCCCGCTTGCCCAGGTGACCCCAGACTCTGAGTGCCCCTGGTGTGACTGTCCCAGGGCCTGGGGGCCCCAGAGTCCGCCCCCGCACCGGCCACCTCGAGCCGCAGGAATGGCTTCCGTGAAGGAGCGTAGGGAGGGCTGAAGACAAGCTTGTGGCCGAGGGCCCCCTCCCGCCCTACTTCTCACGGGCACAGAACAGTGAGGCACTTTCAACCCAACCTCAGTGCAGTGGGGCGGTGAGTGAAGGAGTGGATGCGAGCGTGGGGCGGGGTGCTGGGCAGCGACCTGCTGGGACACCAACATCCTGCTTTCAAAGCCCTGGGCGCCTGCTGCCCTTCCCCACCCCCAAAAGCCCCTGGTGCTCCCATCAAACCTTCGGGAACCAAGCCCCGCTGCCCAGCCCTCCCAGCCAGCCTCGTCGTCCTCTGGCGAGTCCTGGCTCTCCCTAGACGTCAGACCCCTCCAGTCTCTCCTTCGGCCCCAAGCCCTTGGACCCTCAGAGACACCTTTATGGGCATCGCACAGGTGGGTGAGCTGGCCTCAGGCAGCTCTGAGACAGACCTCCCTCTGCCCGGCCAATCACGCCACAGGCCGTTTGCACACACTGCCTGATGTTCAGCCTGCTTGACCGAAGGGCTGCCCCCTCAGGGAAGCCTCCTGGGCCCCCTGAGGCCGCGAAGCACGCTCTCCTCTCTTCACCCACGTTCTCCCAACCTGAGGACCATGCCGTCCAGCTAGGCTTGGCGGAAGGGGGGGATGGACGAACCCGAGGGGCCTTTCTCCAGGCAGAAGCGGCATCTCGTGCAGCAGCCCCCCCACATCCACTGTCCCTCCGGGGGCCGAGGGCTGCGGGACACGGACGTGCGGCCTCACCTGCCCGACAGTCCACGCTCTGCTCCTTCAGCTCCGGGAAGAAGCTCAGGAAGGAGTCCAGCAGGTCCAGGGCTACCACGCTGGTGAACTTGTACTTCTCCACGTAGGCCTGCGCGGGTGGGGGCAGGGCTCAGAAAGCCTGCGGGCCAGCGCACCGTCCCCCACCCGAGCAGCGGTGGGCACAGAGGCATCCCGGCGGCCACGTGGACCTTGCCAAGTGGCTGCAACTGGGAGGGAGCCAGAGGGAGGAGGTGGTGCCCCGCATCGCTGCCATCAGGCCCCCTTGACCCCACGCCACCCTCCAGGACAGAAGGCAGCCCCGGGGGCTGGGGAGGGGCTGGGGTGGGTGGAGGGCAGGGCCTGCCCGGGGGAGAGGGCTGCTCACTCGGAGAAAGTCGTCAAAGCGCTGGGGGTCACCGCACAGCTGGGACAGGTAGTACACAAAGCAGTAGCCCTTCTCGTACGTGAACAGGTTCATCAGGTGGCTGGGGTTCACGCCTGCAAGGGGAACAGCCCCGGCTCTGGCGGCGTCCCCACCCTCCCGCATCGGGCGGGCTGGGGGGCTGGGGGGCTGGGCGCTGCGGAGCAGGTCGGGATGAGGGCTTCTGTCCTTCCCGGGCCCTTGGCGTGCAGCGATGGGGCCGGGCCTGCCTGAGGGTCACACGTCATGGGGACCGGCACTCAGTGCCCGCAAGAGGCGGTGGCAGGCTGGGGGAGCCTGGGAGCGGCCGTCCTAGGGCCGGGATCCAGCCAGAGGAAGCCAGGGGTGCCGAGGCCCTGCTTGGTGGCGTCTTCGGGGGCGGGGAGGTACCTGGCTCCAACTTGACCTGCAGCTTGCTGACCGGGCTGTCCTCTCCGAGCAGCTTCATCTGCCTGTGCAGGGCATCTAGGCGGAAGGCCGTATCCAGACAGGTGAAGGCAGCCCCTGCGTGGGGACCAGAGCAGTTGTGGGGGGGGGTAGTGAGGGCGGGAGGGGGCGGGGACAGCCTGAGCACCTGGGCAGGTGCGAGGCAGCTCCCTGCCCTGAGCTGCGTGGAGCTAACCCAAGGCCACCCTGCTGGACACACACTCGGCAGGGGACCACACCCCCGGGGCGGGGCTGGGCTCCAGCCCCTGGCGCAGCCCCCGGCACAGCCCCCAGGATGGCCCGGGCACCAGCCTGCAAGACACCGTGCAGGGCTCCACGGTCCCCCACGTCCCCCAACCCTGCCCCCGCCCCCACCGGCCACGGGCTGTACCGTAGGTCTCAGTGGTGATGCGGCGCTGGGCATAGGTGGCCAGGCCCTCGCTCAGCCACATCTCCTCCCATGTGGCATTGGTGACGGCATTGCCGAACCAGCTGTGGGCCACTTCGTGGATGACGTCGATGACCAGGAACTCGTCGCTCTCCAGGATGGAGGAGATGATGAACGTGAGGCAGGGGTTCTCCATGGCCACGATGGGGAAGGAGGGTGGCAGGAAGACAATGTCGTACCTGCCCCGGGAGGGAGGGCGGGCGCATGACCGTGAGAGGGCTGGGGGCCTTCTTCCCCAGGACGTCAGACAGGGGACTCTCCCCGCAGGACTTCATTGACCCCTCCGGAGAGCAGGACCTGCCTCCTGGCCCGCCCACCACGTAGCCCCTGGGGCCCCCAGGTGCCCCAGGACATACCTGCCCCACATGTACGGCCCGTACAGCCGCTCGGCTGCGCTCAGCCACTGCTCCACTGCACCCGACAGCTTGCTGGTGGCCGTGGGCAGGAGGCACGGCTCAGCCCACACGCGGCTCCTATCACAGGGCGGAGAGGGCGGGCAGAGGCTGAGCGGCCCCCACCACACTCACCCCTCAGGCCACCTCTCCTTCTGGGCTTAAATAACACCCACACCTCCAGGAGCAGCCAGCCCGCTGCCCGCCACCCCACCTCACGTGAGGGCTGCCACGCAGGCCCTTCCCACGCAGTGGCCGAGCCACGTGCCAAGGGGGGTGGCTTGGTTCCCTCTGTCGTTGGGTGGAGATAACCCACCCAGGCTTGAGGGTGCATCGGGCTATGGTGTGGCCCCAGCAGGAGACACTAAGGAGGGTGACTGCCCCGGCTTCCGGGCTGGGCCGGGCGGGGGTGGGGTGGGAGGAGCCTGGCAGTGGGAGCCACGGCGTGGGGGTCCTTAGCGGGGCAGCCACGGCCGCAGGCCTCGCCTGCAGCCCGTGGTGGGATGTCCCCGCAGGCTGGGCCCCAGGGCTGTAGGGGGCTGCGGCCCTACCTGGGCCCGATGTCTGCCGGCTGCAGGTCCCCGGCCACGAGGGCCACGAGGTAGGCGGGCACGGGGTGCTCCATGTGGAAGCGGTAGACGCCCTCCTCCTCCACGTACGTGCTCTGAGTGGCACTCATCAGCACCTGCACCCCCGACGGGGCCTGCATGCAAGGAGGCCCCGCCCATCAGAGCGCCCCGCGTCCCGGACGGGGAGCCCCACATCCCCCAGCAGGGCACCCCACGTGGTGATCAGGGTAACCCAGGTCTTCCGAGTCCACAAGCTGGGTCAGGGAATCCCACGTCCGTGGTGGTAGGGAGCCCCACGCCCCTGATGGGGTAGTTCTCCTGGAGGGCCTCCACGCCACCCTGGGCACCCCGGTCAGGGGTCCCCCACCCAGCGCTGGAGCTCCCTCTCAGAAGGCGGCCAGGAGGTGGGCCGGGCCGGGGGACGCTGACCTTGACGACGGCTGAGTAGGTGCACTTGACGGCGGGCGTGTCGAAGCAGGGGAAGAAGGAACGGTTGCACACCGAGTGGCCCTGGGTGAAGACGAAGGGCTTGGCGTTGCCGTAGGTCAGCTCGGGGTCCAGCCACCAGATCTGCAGGTGGGCAGTGGGCAGGGCGTCAGCGCCACCCTCTCCATCACAGTGGGCCACTGCCCCTCTCCCTGGTGAGGCGCGAGGGTCCCCGCCCCACAGAAAGCGTCACGCGGCCAGCTGGCCAGGATGCCTCTGCCGACCACACTTTGCTCCTGGGAAGCTGGGCAGGTTTCCTGGAGAGAACAGGGCCTTAGCGAAGTGGCCTTGACCCGTGGTCCCGCTTGGGCTTCTCCAGGGCCTCTGGGGAAGGCAGTGGGAGAGGCAGACACTGGGGGCCCACGGGGAGATGGTCTGATTGGGCTCCTCCAGAGCCAATGGCCACTCCTGGCCACGGTCGCTCGCCCACACCCTTGGGCAGGCGGGCCACTGAGCCAGAGCGCAGCCTGTACTGTCACCAGGGCCGGCAGGAGGCCACGCGTCCAGGAGCGGCCCAGGGAGCCGAGTCTGGGCCCCTGCTCCTCATCCCAGCTTCCCGGGTCTGAAGACCCAAGTCCAAATTCTCACAGGCCAGCAGCGAGGCCAGGGAGCCGGGAAGGTGAGAATGGGGGACAGTGGGGCTTCCTGGCGACCTGCACCCTGGGAGGGAAGTCCCGAGCCCAGGGCCGCCCTGTCCTCGCCGGGAGGGGCCCCATGGGGGCACGGGCTCTGGGCCAGGAGAGGACAGCGGGACAGGAGTGGCCCCAAGAAGCCCCTGAATCTGCTCATCACGTGGTCCCCTCCGCCGGCACACGATCACTGAAGCAAGCTGGATTGTTCCCCGTCTACTTCAGCGACCAAGTGCACAAGGGTCCTCCCGGGCGGTTGTGAAAGGAGCCCCCCCCCAGCACACACAGCCACTGCAAGTGATGGCTCCGTGGATTCACGGCTGCTGGCCACCACGGCTGCTGCCCGGCCACTAGTGGTGGTTTATGCTGAAATCACAGGAGCGGTCGACGGCAGACTCAGGCAGGGCTCCCTTCCCTGCAGACCACAGGCCCCAGACCCAGGAAGGGCTGCCTCTCCCACGCGGACCCCAGACCCAAGTGGGTCCCTAGACGGGCAGGGCTGCCTCTCTGGCTCCGGGCAGACTCTGGCCAGTGCTCACAGGTGTCTTTATTACTCCCCTTTGGCTGCTATGTCTCTGTCCCTTCGCTGTGAGAAGCCCGCCCGTCTGTGGAGCCTGTTCAAAACTTCAGACTCCTGGGCCCCACCCTAGAGCTTTCTGGGGCCTGGACCCAGGAATCTGCATTAAGGAGACTCTGCAGTGGACGGTGCTGCAGGCGGTCCTGGGCCCTCACTGGGGACAGGCTCCCGAGGTCCCCCAGACCCCCTTCAAGGTCACTTCCCCCTCTCACACCTACTCCAGCACCACAGCCTCCCCTTCTGCTGACTCCTCCCCTGTGGTCACAGGCTCCGCCCAGCTCAGGCCTCTGTTCCCACTCTTGTCCACCCGGCCCAGCCAGAGACGGCCCGCCCAGCACTGGCCTCCCCTTAGCCTAGCAGAGACCAGTGAGGTCCACAGTCCTCCCTGGGAGTGGGGGGCTGGGGCGGACCCCAGGAAGGCGGAGCCCCGCCCCAGGGGTGAGCCACCAAGTGCTTTCAGGTGCAGGGGCCGAGGCTCAGCTGCGGACGGGCTGGTGACGCCTCCAGACGCCACAGGCCAGGAAGAGAGCTGTCCTTGGCAGCGTGGGCGGGACTCATGAAGGGGAGGCAAGAGACGTCCCAGAGCCTGCAGCACCCCAAACTGACTCTGGAGGAGGGGGGACCCACTGGCAGGGCCTCCCAGGAAGCTGCATGCTCACCTGGCACAGGGGCAGGTTGAGGGATTTAGGCCTGACTCCTAGAACGAGCCAGGGAGAGAAGGGGACCCCGAGCCCCGTGGCCTTCGTGCGTGACGGTGGGTGCCCGAGGTCAGGCGCCAAACGCTCTGTCCTCTGCAAGCGATCTAGCTTCGCGCCAGGCCCCTGTCACCCCCTCTCAGGGCTGCACAGTTTGTGTGGGCACCGTGGCGCCCGTCCCTGCTCCAAGCACCCAGGCCACAGAAAGCCCAGGGACAACGGCCACTCTTGCTGGCCGGACCCGAACCCCAGCAGCATGCCGAGGGTCCTGGCCCCACCATTCTTCTGGTCGTGGTCTTGAGTGGACCAGACACAAGGGCTCCGAGCTCGCAGATCGAGCTCAGGGAGGAGCACGTCTTCTCACTGCACGCTGGGAGCGCACCTGCCACCTGTCAGGGCCCCGGATGACCTGCGCAGGCGGCAGGGGCCAGCACGCTGGCGGGGGCCCAGGGTAGCAGGTGCGGGCAGGGCCTGCGGAGGGCTCCCAGGAACCAGGCAGGAAGCCCACAGGTGTGTGTCTGGTCCGGGCTCTTCCCACCCAGATGCCACCTTGGTGGCCCCTGGCCTGATGCCGCGACACCACCTGTCCCTTTGCAAGCTGTGGGCAGTGACAGATGGAACGTCCCAGGGCCTCCCAGAGCCGCGCGCGTGTTGTGTACGTGGGGGGAGAGGGTGTCACTTGTGTGTTGTCCACGTGGGGACGCAGGGAACCCCATGCCGCGGGCGCGAAAGGCCCTTCCTCTGTTCTAGAAGCATCACCATGGTTCAGGGGTGCCGCAGCCACAGTGCCCCACCTGAGCCACCTAGGCTTTTCGGGAGAGCATCCTGCCAACGGTGGTCCCTGCCCAGAGCCCTGCAGAGCCTCGCGGCCTGTCTGTGGGGCCACCCAGCTGCGGCATCGGCCGATCGGTGCGCGGGGACCCGGCGCTCTCCGTCTCCCACTCTGCCAGGTCTGCCTGTGCCTCATGCCCTCCATGCAGCACATCCGGTGCCCCCAAGTCCTCTGAAGACCCAGGTCCCACGGCCGCCCTTCCAGGTCTGACACCACCCGCCCGCCCGCCCCAGCGCCAAGCTCAGCAGACGTATGGCTTGCCTGGTACCCACCAGAGGTGGCCCTAGTCCCCAAGCAGGGACAGTCTGCACGACTGAAGGGAGAGGCCTCCCTTGGTGGCAGGCTGTCCCCTGTGCCCACCCGGCCGGCACCAGGGCTCTCGCTCCGTCCAAGTCTCCTAAGACTCCCCGGGCGTTGGCTCGGAATCTCTGAGGGCACCTGACCGGGGCTGCGGGGCCAGGCGGGGGCGTGCCGGGCCAGAGGCCACGGACCCCCGGGGCAGGTGCCCGGGGAGCGGAGCCCAGGGTCCCGTCCCCTGACCCGGCAGCGCGGGGAGAGGCCGCCCGGAGACGGCCGAGACCAGCCCCCAGCCCCGGCGGACTCACGGCGGGGGCGTCGGTCGAGGTGTAGCGCAGGATGACCTGGAAGGGCTGGTGCGCCTGCAGCTCGGGCGGCAGCGTGACGGTGAGCGACGAGCCGTAGTCGGTGAACGGGTCCACCCTGAAGGCCAGCGGGCAGCAGTCGGGCTCGGCGCCGGGCGCCTCGGGGAAGGCGGGCAGCGGGGGCGGCGGCGCGGGCCCCGGCCCGGCGGCGGCGAAGGCGAAGGCGCAGGGCGGCTCGGCGGCGGCGGCGGCGGCGGGGGCGGGGGCGCGGCGGAAGGCGGCCGAGTGCAGGCGCAGGGCCGGGTGCGCGTCGAGCACGAGCGCGCGGGGCGCGGGCCGCAGCGCGCACAGCTCGAGCACCAGGCAGCCGGCCAGCTCGCGCGCCTCGGGCCGCAGCTCCAGGCCCAGCTGCAGGTGGCGGAGGCGGAAGAGCTGCGCGCTGGAGGCCGAGGCCACGTCCAGGGCGGGCGGCGGCTCCGGCGGCGGGCGGGCGGGCGCGGCCTGGGCGCCGGGCGCCTTGCAGCAGCAGCACTGCGCCGCCATGGCCGGCCGCGCTAGGTGAAATCCATGGGCGGCGGCCGCGCCGGGCCGCTGGGAGCGGGCGAGGGGCGCCGGGCGGCGGCGGCGGAGGCGGCGGCGGGGCGCGGGCACAACAGGAAGTCGCGCCGGGAGCCGCCCGGCCCGGCCCCGTGCCGTGCACCGCCCCGCTCGGGCTCCGCTCGGCCGCCGCCGGGGGCGCTGTGCGCGGGGCCGGGCCGGGGAGCCGGGGGACGCAGGGCGCACGGGACCGGGGCGGGGCGGCGAGGGAGCTGTGTGCGGGGGACCGGAGGTCCGGGCGCTATACCAGGAGCCTGGCCAGGGAAGCCGGAGGCTCCGGGAGCGGGGGACCCGGAGTGCAGGTCCGGGGGCAACGCGTGAGGGGTCGGGGTGCTGTGCGCCAGGCGGGTCTGGGGAGCCAGGAGAGCTGTGTGCGGGGGACCGGGGACGACGTGCGCGGGGATGGGTGCTATGTGCGGGGCCGGACAGCAAGCGCGGGAGGGAGTGTTGTGCACTGGCGGGCCGTGGCGCCCAGGGGCCTGGGTGCACCCGCTGGCCAAGCGGCATCCCAAGCCCTGTGCGCTTCGCACCCGGCTTGTCGTCAGGGTAGCTCTGAGCCAGGTACTGAGAGTAGCAGCTGCGTGGCGCAGTCTACTTCTGAAAAGCCTGGAAGTGTATGCACCCCCTCCCCGCCCCCCCTCCATCTCCAGACCGGTGGTCTGTGTGGCGGAGCTCCGGGCCTTAGGGCTGGGCTGTCACATACGGTAGTAATGGCCATGTGTGGCTATTTGGATTTGGATAAAATGTTAAGTTCAGTTCCTGGTGGCACTAGCCATCTTTCAGGGTCTCAACGAGTGTGTGTAGGGTAGTGTGTAGCTAGTGGCAATCATATTGGATGGAGTGGATGTTCATTCCATCATCACAGAAAGTTCTGCTGGGAGGTGCTGCCTAGAGGGCGGGCAGGGCCCTGGGGACCAGGTTGTTTAGGAGGCGAGTGTTGGGGGCGGGAACAGCGGTCTGGTCAGCCCCCATCCCACCTGGCAGGGTCCTGTCCCGAGGCCTGGGTCCAGAGGAGAGGGCTGCAGACCAGTGAGAGGCGCGGACGCCCAGTGAGCAAAACATCGGTGGAGCTTGATGGCTTGGAAGGCGAGGGGCCGCCAAGACGGTGCCGTTACCATCATGTAAGGGTTCTGGTCTTCGGGGAGAAGGGGGGTCGGCCTGGGAGGGCACCCGGGAACCTCCCACTCCTCTCTCCTCTGCTCAGTTGTGGTGTGGGGCAGAAGCTGCAGCTGACCCAGACGGCATCCCCGGCTAGTATTTAGCCCTTCTGGACTCTGTCCCCACCTGTAACCCGTGAGCTGGTGCCCACCGTCCTCGCTGGGGGTGGGGGAGGGGCAGGGAAGGACGGCTGGCTGGGAAGGAGGACCATGTGCGCTGGTGTGGAGCACGCGCACTGCGGCATTGCTTTAACTTTCCCACGGCTCCTCAGGTCCCCAGTGTCCTCTTAGCTGGGTAACACAACCTCCCTGTTGGGGGTCCGGCTCAAGCTCACCAGGAGCCCCCGGGCTCGCGCAGCCACCTGGAGGAGGAGGTCAGTCCTATGTCCAAGACTCGAGAGAGGAGAGCAGGGGTCTGACTGGTCCTCACCAAGTTCAGGCGGCCCAGTGCCTGCCCAGGTGGCAGGGCCCCGAAGTGCCGGGGGCTGAGATGGTACTCCCACCTTTATGAGCTTCTCTGAGCCCTTTCCCCCAGGCCAGTTGGTCGGGGCCGGAGGGACATCACCAGGACCGCACGTGAGTGCCCACACGAGCCTGCCCTAAGCGCCCCCGCAGGCGGGTCGGCCGGCCGCCTGTGCCCTCAGAAGCCACCAGGGGCTTCTTGCCCTCCCGGCATCTCATCCCTTCCCTGCTGGACGGCCCTGGGCATCTCCCCAAGGCGGGTTCTGCACACAGGAGGGGTGGAGGGGGCAGAGAGGTTACCACCTCTCCTCCCAGAGTGGGGGTGCCTGCTACCCCCCGCTTATGTAAGGAACCAACACAAGCCACTTGTAGAGCAGACACGTGTTGTGCAGTAGCAGGGCCAGCGCGCTAAGGCACCTCCTGACTGTGAGGCCCACAGACGGGATGCTGTGGCTGTCCCCACCCTCCACCCCTCTGCCCTTCAGAGGACAGAGCCCTCGGCACAGCCCCACGGCCCTTCCCTGGAGCCCACGCGGCTGCCCTCCCTGCCCCCCGCAGCAGGAAGCAGCTCTCCTCTCCCTGTCCTGACCTGCCTCTGGGGAGAGGAAGGAGGAAGTTGGGGCCATCAGAGGCCGGGGCTTCTCCCACAGGAATTTTCACACTTTAGCTTTTCTGGTGATCCAGTCCCGGCTGGCCTGGGTGGCTGAAGCAGTCGACACTCTGCCCGTGCCCCAGCCGTCCAAGCCTAACGCTCATGCGCCCAGGAGGGGAGCAGGCCCGCGGCCTCACCTGCCAGGTGGACGTGCAGGCGGGCGGGGGTCCTCGGGAGAGCTGTCTCTGCGGAGGGCCGCGGTTCCATGGTTCTCAAGCACAACTGGCGGGATGAAACACTGATGGGCCCAGCTCTTGCGCCTTTGGTGCCAGGAGCCAGGGAAGCCCGTCGGGGGGGCATCCCATCAAAGGTGCCAGGGGCACGCTGGGTAAGAACCTGGGCACAGGCCCTGGCGCATTGCTCAGCTCCCCTCCAGAGCAGCCCAGCCTCACCTGTTAAGGGGAGACGTGGCAATAGCTTCCCTACGGCAAGGGGTTGGCACAAAGGTGCCACGCGCTACGAGGGGCTTGGAGGGAGTAAGGGCCGTGGAGGAAGCGGGCTTGGCCGCAGCGAGCGGCAGGCTGGCGACACGGAGAGGGCTGGGTGCCGGGCCTACCGGTGTGTGCTCGGAGCCAGGGCCGACAGGTGGGGTCAGAGCTCAGGCGCAGGGGTGAGGGGGAGGGGAGGGACCCCCGTGCCAACCATCTCCGTGCCTCCCAGGCCCAGCTTCGCAACCCACGGCTTTGGGCTCTGCTGAGTCGGGGGCTCCGTTCCCAGGGAGCACGCTTCCACCGGGGACACACACGCTCTGCTGTTGGGACACGGGGACCCCCCCGCCCCCCCGGCTGCAGTGACTGATCCCGACTTGCCAGGAGGAGGACCCTGAGCTCAGGACACTCTGCCGGTGCGTCCAGGAGTCCTGCTTGCGGAGTAGAGAGGACAGCGGCCACAGCCCTGCAGAGGCAGCGCCACTCAGGGCCCCTCAGGACGAAGGCGTGAGTCACGTCACCAGAAGGACTACGAGGTGCTGGCTGAGGAGAACAGGAACACGAAATGACTAGCGGGAGGGGGAAATGTTAAACGCTGATTGTGATGTTTTATCGATTACCTTAATATGTATACAGTGGCACATACTAACCAGGGACTGTATTCTTTGTAACTCAAATTATAACCCAATTTCTCCTTTTTATTTTTTCCCTTTCTTATTTAAGGAATATTGATGGTAATTTTTTTTTGTTTTTAAGCTTATTTATTTATTTTGAGAGGAAAAAGAGCGAGCGAGCAGGGGAGGGGCAGAAAGAGGTAGAGAGAATCCCAAGCAGACTCTGCACTGTCAGGGCAGAGCCGGACACAGGGCTCTAACTCAAGAACTGTGAGATCACGACCTGAGATGAAATCAAGAGTCCGGACGCTTAACTGACTGAGTCACCAGGTGCCGTATGGTGATTAGTTTTCTAGTATAATCTTTAGGCCATAGGAACCAGGTGAGGGGCGTCTGACCCAAAAGAGGAATCGACACGCTCACAGGTGGCCACTGTGTCCTTCAGACGATGGAGGCTGCAGGACGTTAGGCTGTCGGTAAGATTGGGGGTGGCCACAGGCGCCGAGAGCACAAGGGTGCCCCTGCGAGGCTGTCTGTCACCCAGCCTCACACCCTGGCCCGTGCACTGTAGTAACTACGCGTCTGGGTCCCGTGCCGGATTCTGAGATGGGGCCAGTGTGAGGTTTGGGAAGAGCCCCCGAGGCCTGAACAGGTGGCAGGCGCAGCCTCTGCCAGCAGCCCCGGAGTGCTCCAGGGGTCAGGACGGGGGCGGGGGGCTGGGTCTCCAGGACCCCTGTACCTCCCATCTCCTGACCTTGGCTCCCTGGCCTTGCTCTCTGTATTAAATACCTTTCTGCCTAAAATTCCTCAAGTGGTGTTGATTTTCCGGACCAAGCCCTGTCTGATAAACCTGACCAAGGAGGGGATTCCAGTCCCCTCGTAGGTGGACACACCCCTGCAGTACCGTCAAAAGGACAAACACTAGAGCTGCATTTCAGGAAGATGCAGGAAATGGAAACTCCGAGCGGCAGCGAGAGAGGAGGAGAAAGACCCTCCTCCGGGCAGCGCCTGAACTGCCTTCGGCTCCACGCGCCCTGCTCTGGGGGCTGGGTCATCTCCACGGGCTGGAGGCCTAGGGCTCGTTCCGGAGCTCTTCTCTCCTCCGGGGGCACCGTCCGGAGGGCCCCCCGGGCTGGCGGGACTGGGACTGCAGCGCCTCCTCGTACCTCTGGAGCTGAGACCAGAAGCCCGGGTTGGGCTCGGCCACCGGGCGGGCACTCTTCACCGCCTGAGGACGAGGAGCTTGGGATGAACGCGGCGTCACGAGGTGCTGGGCACCTCGAACGCCCGGAGGCCGGTCGCACCCCGCAGGCCCGCCCCCCCCGCGGCCCCACCTGGGAGGCCCGGCCACCCGCCCCGCCCGGGAGGCCCGCCCACCCGGCAGGCTCGCCCCGCCCACCTGGAAGGCCCGCGCCAAGCTGAGACCGCGGTGCCGCATGAGGTAGGCGGTGCACACGGTGGCCGAGCGGCTGCGGCCGTTCTTGCAGTAGACCAGGCAGGCGCCGCCGGCGCGCACCGCGGCCTCAATGGCGGCGCACGTGGGCTCCAGGTGCGTCAGCAGGTCCTCGGCCGGGTCGTCGAACACGGGCACGCGCAGCTCGGCGACGCCGGGCGCGCGCGGGCCGGGCTGCTGACGCGAGACGTTGACGCACAGGGTGACGCCCGCGCGTGCCAGCAGCTCCGGCGCGGCCGCGGCGCGCGCACTCCCGAGGAAAAGTGACGGGGCGACGCGCGCGAAGGGCGGCGGCGCGGGCGAGGCGGCCCCGCGGGCCCCACAGCGGCCGGGTCCCCCTGCGTCCATGACCGGCGCTCGGGCACCCGGCCCGCGCGTCTAGTTTGGGCGGCCGGGCGGACCCCCGGGAACCCCTGGGTCCTAAAGGCCGCCGGGGCGTCCGCAGGACCTTGGCTCCCTCCCCATTGGCTGGCCGGAGCGGGGCTCCGTTCCCGATTGGCTGCGGGCGGGGATGGCGGCCATTGGCTGGGCTTGTGGAGTGGGATTGGCTGCAGTGGGGGTGGGCGGGGCCGGGACTCCGGGATGAAGGGGCGGCCCCTGGGGGCGCGGGGGTGTAGGAGCCGCGCCCCTTCGCGGGCTGGGGCGTCCTCGGTCGGCGGGCGCTGTGCTTGGAGGGGTGCTGCGGGGCCTGTCCCTGCGACCGAGGTGGGGGTGTGGTTCACAGACGCGGGCACGCGCCCCAGAGCGGGCCGGGCCGGGACAGCGGGGCCCCGGGAGGCGGGCCCCTCGTCCAGCCGTGGCGGGAGCGCGCAGGACTGGGGGCCCCGTCCGGTAGCCTCCCTGGGGTGTGTCCGCGGGCTGCGTGGCTTCGCCGGCCCTTACAACTGCTCGTAACCGTCTTGCCGCCCGAAGTGCCTTTCCGTACAGCTTTATGTTTCTTCCTTTTCACCTGTTTCCTAAGAAATTGCTCTTTGTACTTTCTGTATTTTATTTTCCCTTTAATTGTAAAACATGGTTCATTTGAAATAAAGCTATTTGCTGTTAAGTTTTCATCATTTCTTCACACACCCATATTTTAAAAACTTTTCTTAGTAACTTTCGGTTCATCATCGTAACTTTTAAAACCTCAGATCATTTATTGCCCACACATTTACTATGTAAGACTCTTCAGTAGGTTTTTTTCCCCGTTTCTTCTTAAAAACTTTTAAATGTTTTTATTTTTGAGAGCCAGAGTGCGAGCAGGGGAGGGGCAGAGAGGGAGGGACACAGAATCCGAAGCAGCTCCAGCCTCCGAGCTGTCAGCACAGAGCCCGACGCGGGGCTCGAACCCGCACTGCCTCCTCCAGACCAGGGCCTGACTGAGCCCCCCAGGCGCTCCCGGTAGGTTTCTACGATGTCCAGCGTCATCCTGATGTTCAGGGGTGTCATTCAGGGGCCTGTTTCAGTGAAAAGCTGTCCTGCCGCCCTGCATACGTCGCTACTGCGGTTTGTTTATAATGGCACAATAATGGCTCATCTGTAACAGAGTATCACAAACTGGGTGGCTTAAAACAAGTTTATTTTTCCCCGTGTGTTTGGGGTCAACAAATCTCTGTCTCCTAATAAGGACACTAGTCATCTGGTGTAGCGAATGCCCTAATCCAGTATGACCCCTTGATTATTTGCAAAGACCCGATTCCCATATAAGGTCACTCACAGGTGCCAGGAGGCAGGGTTTACACTTAATCTTTTGGGGGATGTCAATCAGCCTACAACAGACGGCTTGGTTCGACAAGTTTGTAGGATATTTAGAAGTTGATCACTTCTTTCTCTTCACAACAGGAATTTTAAAGACAGTTTAGTTTGTGCTCAAATTCCCAGGCTGCAGCTGGAGGGACCCGAAGGTGACGGACACGAGGGGGGTGGGGGGGAACTGGGAGATAGAGGGGTGGAGGAAGCACCCCGGAACCCTAGCCAGAATCTCGCCACCGGGGGAGGGTCTCGCATATCCCTTTCCCTCTTTGTAAGGGGCAGCCTGGGTCGCGAACCCCAGGCCCGGCGCCTGCGAGAGCCCCGCCCTCTCTCCAAGGGGCCCCCGTGGCGGCTTTTGCAGGACGTGCCGTTCGCACCGCTGTGCGTCTGCACCTCCCGGTCCCGTTCCCTGGACTGTGCTCTCTTTGCCCTTTGGAGAACTGCGCACCCCTGAGGCCCTATTCGGGACTCCTCGGTCCACACAGCTAATTCTTCTCTCCGTGACCTCAGGCCCCGAACCAGACCAGGAGCTCCCGCTTCGTGCCTTCCACAAACTTGCACGGAACCGACAAAAACCGGCTTTGGAGTCTGGCGCATCCTGGCGCACGGCCCCATTGTTCCTCGGTTTCCGCAGGTGTCTCCCGGGGGCGCAGGGGGCACACAGTCCTCTCCCCCGCGGGGAGCCCTCGGCCTAGAGCTGGCTCACCGCCCTCTGCGGGACGTGGGGGTCGGTGCCCCCGGCGGACACGGCTCGGCCGGGTTCCCGCGCCCTCGCGGGGCTCAGGCACAGGCCGCACACGCCGGGGCGTGGGGCGCTCGGCGGCTACCTGCGGGCGGGGGCCTGTGAGGTCACAGAGGGGCGCCCCCTGTTCCGCCGCGGACGGCGGGGCGGGGCCTGCGGAGGAGCCGGGCGCGGATTGGTGGAGGCCGAGAGCGGCCGCCGCAGTGCGGCCGCGGGCAGGTCTCCAGGGAAACCCGACGCTCGGGGGCCCCGGGCGCCGTGCGAGGCCGGGCCGAGGCTGGCAAGCGGGCTTGCGCTGCGGCGGCCGCGCCCTGGGCGCACCGGGTGCGGCAGGTGCGAGTCGTCCGAGCGTCGCTGCGGCCCCGCGGCAGGGGCGCAGCCGGGATCCCGGCGGGAGCGCGGTGAGCCGGGAAGGGGCGAGTCCCGGGGCTCTGCGGGGGTGGCGGGGAGGCGTGCGAGTGGTCCCGACGCCCCCGGGCCCGGCCTTCTGTCCTCCCGGGTCCGGGGCGGGCAGGAAATTTGGGGCCCGACGCGCCTGTGTGAGGCCGGGTGAGGGACGCGTCCCTGCGCTCGCTCGGGCCGCCCTCGCGGGCTGGCTTCAGAGACCCCGGGGAGCGGGCGCCTGCTGTTCGGGGAGGAATATTGGCTCCAACGTAGGGCCCTAACGAGCTAGTGGGGGGTGGTCCAGATGGCCCTTAATGCGGTTCCTGCTTCCTCGGAAGGGACAGGGACACCCTCGCGGCGCCGGCGGAGTTTCCAACAGGATGGGGGCATCGCCAGGTTAGGGGAGGGGGCTTAGTTTTTCTGAGGCAGGTGGGGCTGTGGGCAGGTCCCCTGAGGGTGAATGTGGGTCTCTGACTTTGCTTCCAGGTTGGAAGAGAAGAGGCATGGAAAGTGGGCGTCCCTTGTATCATGGGGTCCCAGATGGTGACGTCTCTGAAAATCAGCTGGCAGGGAGGGGCAGCCAGCCTGCTGCCACCGACTTCCTGGGGACCCTGGAGATGCTCTCTACCAAAAGGTGTGGGGGCCCAGCCTGACCCTGGGGACCAGACTTCACTGGGATCTAGAGTCGGAGCTGGTGTTAAAAACCCCTAAAAGTTATTTTGCCACTCAAAAAGTCATCTGTGGAGAGAGAGGAAGACCTCAGCGTTGTATCGGCCGTCAGCAACCAGTGAGGAAAATGACAACATGGGGTGGCGGGAACCCCTGCACAACTCCCTTCTAGCCCGCCCACTCTGCCTTTGCCCTGCTATCTCCTGCGGCCTTGCGGACGGTCACTTTACACTGTGGGGCTCCCGAGTTGGACAGCTTCTTCACAGCATGATAACCGTGCCAGCCGACGCCCCCCAGGCCTACTCTGGGCCGGGGCTGCCCTCCGGCCCTTACCTTGGCAGCTTGTGAAATCAGCCTGTAATCCCATTGGATTTGTCCCCGGTGCGGACTGAAGTGTGCCTTCCTTCCCCCATTCACCGCTCCCGGAATGAAATTCGTGTTGAATCCCTAGCCCCCTAACCCCCAATGTCCTGGTGATCAGCACAGGCTTCCGCAGGAGCCCTCTGTCCCCGTCACAGCAGGTCTGGAGGCTCCTCTGAGCTGGGGGCTGGGGGCTGGGGGCTCAGAAGCTCCGCCCCCGCCTGCAGCTGCTTCTGCTCCCGCCGCCCCAGCCGCTCCCCGGGCTCAGCCCGAGGCCCCGGTTATCAGGCTGCCTGCTCTCCGCCAGCAGGCACACCGCCCTCCACGCACCCACACACCCCCCTCCCTGGAGGTGGCGCGCCCGGGGGGTGATTAGGTTTAGATGAGGTTGTGGGGCCCCGGGACGACATTAGTGCCCTTCTAAGAGGAGGAAGCTGACACTTTCCTCCTCTGCCACATGAGGACGCAGGTGCTGGGAGCCGAGTCCACGGGCACCTGTGTGTCCCGCGCCCCCGTCAGAGCCGTGAGAACAGATGCCTGGGGCTCAGGCGCCCTGCCTGTGGGCTGGCTGATAGAGGCCCCGTCTGACAGATGGGGAAGGTCTCTGAGTCACAAGGGGGACAGGGAGCCAGCCAGCCGTTCCAATGACCCAACAATGGGCCTTTGGACTAAATGATTATGTTAGGAATTTTCTTGCTTTGTCTTAAAATCATTTCCTTTTGCTTTTCAAGGGAAATTTCTATTTGTTCATATTTGTGTAGTCCGGTATCTTTTCCTCTTACTAACTCAAACAAAAGTTTTGTTTTGTTTTTTAATTAAGCATATAGCGTGTGTGCCTGCTGGCAAAGCAGGAAGCGTGGCATGTCAGTCTGTTGGGGCTGTGACAAGGTGCCCACACAGGGTGCCTTAAACAATAGAGATGTATTGTCTTTCAAGTGGGAGGCTGGAGTCCAAGGTCAAGGCGTGGGCAGGGTGGTTTCTTCGAGGGTGTGAGGGAGGCTCTGTTCCAGGCCTCTCTCCTTGCCTTGTAGCCGGCTGTCTTCTCCCTGTGTCCACGCATCATCTTCCCTCTGTCCCTCTGCATCCAAACCTCCCCTCGTCGTAGGAACAGGCACGTGGGACCAGGCACCACCGGCCTCGGCTTGAGCTCGGTTACCCCTGTAAGGAGCCCAGCTCCAAATGCAGTCACACGTGAAGTCCTGGGATTTGAGCTCCAGCATAGGAGTGTGGACTCCAGCACCCCGGCGGGGCGTCTGGGCTGGTGGAGGACACCAGGCTTGCCCGGCAAACAGCTGGGGCTGGAACCCATCGGCTTCCGGGGCACCGGCAGCCATTTACCCGTGTTAGACTCGGGGTTGCACACTTCCTGTGTGACCTTGGGCAATCACTGCACGCCTCTGCCTCAGTTTCCCTTTCTGCAAAATGGGGGCGGCAACAGCATCTGCCTCAGGGTTGCTGGGAGGGAGAGACGAGACGGTGTGTGGTTCTCTGCACACGGTACCCCCGCCGCCCCCGCCCCAGGCCCCAGGCCCACGCCAGCATTGATCTTCCCTGTCCCACCCCTTGCCTTCCTAGGGACACCCCAGAGGCCGCGGAGGAGGAGGAGGAGCCCGACGGCCCCCTCAGGGAGCAGGGCCTGAAGGAGGCCTACGTGCAGCTGGTCCGAGGCGTGCAGGAGTGGCAGGACGGCTGTGTGTACCAAGGGGACTTCGGGCTGGACATGAAGCTGGGCCACGGGGAGTTCTCTTGGCCCACGGGCGAGGTAGGTGGCCTCTGCTGCCGCGCGCACCGGGCCCGCCAGCCCCGGCCCGCTCTCCTCTCCTGAGGGGGATGTGAGGTGAACTGGCAGATCGCCGGCAGGAAGGGTGCTGGGCTCGTGTCTTTTCTCTCCTACTTCCGGAAAGAAGCGTTCCCACAGAAGTGCAGGGTCATGCACGCGGTTGGCCGCCGCGTCCCCAGACCGAGGGCTAGGAAGGCTTGCTTAAGATAAATTCTTATCCTGGGCAACTGTTTTCAACCTTCAAATGACTGCATCGAGTTGTATCGTCAGCGAAATTGCTTTGTGTTTAAGGTTAAACAGAAGGAAGGATCTTTTTAACGATCAGATGACAGCAGGCCGAGTCCGGCACCCAGGGGACCTGCGGCAGCGCCTGCCGGTGCCTCTGGGAGGGCGGGCAGCCTGGCCTGGGGCAGGGCGAGGCGACACCGGTAGCTGTGGCTGCCTGCTGTCCAGTGCGGAGACTTCCGGAGCGTGGGCGTCACTGCGAGCTGGGAAGCCGGCCCTGGAGGGCACTTTGTTCAGCAGATCCAGGCCCAGTGGGGTCCGGGCTCGGAGGAGCAGCCAGGGCTGGGTGTGTGGGTGCGTGGAGGGTGGTGTGCCTGCCGGAGGAGAGCAGGTGGCCCGATACCCGATAACCGGGGTCTAGGGCGGAGCCTGGGGAGCTGCAGGGGCAGCAGAGCAGAAGCAGCTGCAGGCGGGGGCAGAGCTTCTGCCCCCTACCCCGCCCCCCTGCCCCATCCCTCTCCTGGAACACACCTCAAGCTCAGAGGGGCCTCCAGACGTCGTGTGACCAGGAGGCCAGGACGGCTGGGGCCAAAGCCTGTGCTGAATGCGAGTCACTGTGACGCTGATGATTCAAGCACTGATTCCTGTGGGGCGTTTATTGTTTTAGTTCTCAGCTAGTTCCTCTCCTTTACCCACCACCGTGGTGTCCTGAGCTTGGACAGCCCTGGTTCACGGCTGGAGGAGGCTTGCGTGTGCTGACCCGTCCTGCGGAGCCCAAGGTCTGCCCGTGACGGGGTGGGAGTGGTGGCGGGGCCTCGGCCTCACTCCTGCCCGGCTGGACCCCCAGGTCCAGGCAGCAGGTGCTTGTCCAGCCGTGACAGCTCACGAGCCGGAGAGGCCAGGGGGACCGCAGGGCGCGCCACTCACCAGCAGTGGCCCTAAACGTGCTAACGGCCCCCGCACGTCAGCTCTGGCTGGTCAGATGAGGCCCGTGGTGTGTGTGCAGGGGTGGGGAGGGACGGCGTGGGCTGGGGAAGGGCTCCCTCCAATGCGGCCTTCTGCGGAGTGAACAGAAATCCCCTCTCCTGCGTACAAACCAACCCTCGTACGCAGACAGTTTGCGACTTAACCATCTTTACGTGCGAGCGTTGGCGGGAGGTGGGCAGCCCCCGGCCCCGGCCCCTCTGCGGGGCGTCCTCGCACGGGACGTTCTCTGCAGGAGCGCCGGCGGAGCCCGTACCAGCCCAGGCCAGAGCGACAAGGGCCTCTGTTGGCTCTCGTAGCAGAAGTGTCCATCAGCGGGGCTCACGTAGCCCCAGGCCTGGCCGGGTCCAGGGATTCCGGTGACCTTGTCCGGTCGGACCCCCCTCTCCCCGTCTCCGTGTCGGCGCCCAGACTGACCTCGGGAGCTGCGCCTCACGCTCCTGGGAGGGAGGAAAGGGCATGAGTCCTGTGGCCAGACCCAAATCAAGGCTGGGGCCGGGGGTCAAGAGTCGTCTGGGTGGCCAGGCTTGGCCACTGGTGCCTGGGGTGGGGAGTCTGTCAGCCACCGGCCGCATGGGGAGCCCCGTCCGTTACCAGAGGACAGAGGAGGGCACTCAGCAGCCTCACTCACGGTCGCGTTCCTACAGAGCGGTCTGTGCCCGGGTGGAAAGTCCACTGAGGCCCCGGTGGAGAGCCAGGCCACCAGCACGTGTGGCCCTTGGGCCACGAGCAGAGGCCGCGTCCGTGGCGCAGCGTAGCCACACCAGTGTCACTGCGCAGGGCCGACGGCCTGCCCCTGGGGCCACAAATGGGGCCACGCGGGTGAGCCCGAGGCTGGGCCGCCCGGCCAGCCTGCTGCCTATAAACCCAGGAGTCACTGCAGAGTTGTGGCCATGCCCGCACCTCTCCGAATTCCCCTGAGTGAGGGCAGGCCACACGGGGGCCGCAGGGGGCGACCTAAGTGACGTCCCTCACAGACTCTTGTGCCCCCGAACTTGAAGGGGCCCTGCCGCCAGGTTCCCCGTGGTCCCGCCTTATGCCAGCATGGCGGCTGCCTCCTCCTGGGGGGCTTCCTGGCTTCTCGGACACAGCCTGCCACTGCGCTCTCTCCACAGTCGTACCGCGGGCAGTTTTACCGGGACCACCGCCACGGGCTGGGCACCTACCAGTGGCCCGACGGCTCCAGCTTCACAGGCATGTTTTACCTAAGCTACCGAGAAGGCTACGGCGCCATGTACATGAAGACCAGGCTCTTCCAGGTGAGGGGGCGGGGCTGCGGGGGGCGGGGTGTGTGAGGGGCGGGGCCTCAGGTGTGTGATGGGCGGGGCTGCGGGGGGCGGGGTGTGTGAGGGGGCGGGGCCTCGGGGTGTGAGGGGCGGGGCTGCCGGGGTTGTGAGGGGGCGGGGCCTCGGGGTGTGAGGGGCGGGGCCTCAGGTTGTGAGGGGGCAGGGCTTCGGGGTGTGAGGGGGTGCCTTACGGTTGGGGGTGGGGGGGCAGGGTCGCCCCATGCGGTGAGGGGGCAGGGCCCTGTGTGCTCAGGCCACTGGACAAAAAGATACTTAGGTCTTGGGGAAGTTTGTGTAACAAGTGGTAGCTTCTTTATGTTTAAAGATTATAACAGTAGCAATAATAAGGTTCAAGAAAAGGAAGTGAGAAGTGAGGCTGCTTCACGATCCCATTTTCCAGAGCAGGGAGTTAGTTGTGTATCCTTTAGATTCAACTGTAAATGCACCATAGTAGTTACTTTTTAATACATAAACTGAATCATTCCACATAGGTTGTCTGGAATCTTGCCTTTATTTCTGGAGGACATTCCTGGTTTTGCAGATACAGATGCCTTTCTTCCTCTTATTTCATGACAGCGTAACTTAGGGTACAGTCCGTCCCCTTGAGTGTGCAGTTGTGCAGGTTTTCCCGAGCGTGGAGCTGTGTGACTACTACCGCCGCCTACCCACAGGACAGCCCCTTTCCTCACTCTGCCCGCGCCCCCTTGGGTCGGCTCTCTCCCCGCAACCCAGCTCTGGCCACTTGTTTTGCAGATGGTTTGCCTTTGCAAGAGTTCCCGGCTAATGACATACAGTGCGTAGACTTTGAGGCTGGTGCCTTTCACTTAGCGAAATGCACTGGGGACTCATCTGCCTTGTGCTGGGTCCGCAGCTCCTTCCGTGGCGCTGAGCAGTTTCCCGGTGCGTGGCCCCATTCTCCGTTCCCCGACGGACACTTGTTTCCAGCTTTTGCCAATTATGGATCAAGCTGCTACAACATTTATATATGGTGTTTTGTGTGTGCATGTGTGTGTGCGTGCGTGTGTGTGTGCGTGTGGAAGTGTTCCCCCACCCCCTCCCATCCCCCAAGCCTCTATTGCATACTGGAGTCACTCTCCAGCCCCACCCCCTTAGCCCTAGATGACACTGCTCTGCTTTTCATCACAACTTCCCCTTTTCTGTCATTTCCGGGCAGTGGGATCCTGCCGTAGGGTCACTGCATGTTTCATTTCTCTGGCTTAGGGCGTGATTCTTCTGAGATTCATACATATTTGCCTACGTCAGCAATTCGTTTCTTTTACTATAAGGTAGTATTCCATTGTGTGGTTTTGATACACGGTTTTTATTGATTCACCAATAGCTACACATTTGAGTTCTTCCAAGTTTTTGGTTATTACGAGTAAAACTGCTAAGAACCTTTGATTACAAGTCTTCACGTGCACGCATGTCTGTCTTCTCTGGGTAAATCCTGTGAGTGAGACTGCTGGCCGTGTGTTAGTGCGTGGCCAGTTTTGTAGGAAAGCTCCAAATCCAAACGGTTTTCCAAAGTGGCTGCATTTTCCACCTCAGCCACCAGACACCGAAGTTGTAGTAGCTCCACACCTTTGTCAACACTTGGTGTTGTCTCTTTTAATTTTAGCCACTCGTGGGGTGTCTGGGGGCTCAGGCAGTTAAGTGTCCGACTTCAGCTCAGGTCACGATCTCAACGGTTTGCGTGTTCGAGCCCCGTGTCGGGCTCTGCTGACAGCTCAGAGCCTGGAGCTGCTTCGGATTCTGGGACTCTATCTGCCCCTCCCCTGCTCATGTTCTGTTTCTCAAAAATAAGCACTAAAAAAAATAAATTTTAGCCACTCTTATGCTTATCGATTTTTCTTTTCCTGGTTCTTATCTTTTTATATTCTAGTTATGCCATCTTAGCTTAATCCAAGGTTCCTAAGATTTTCGTCTGTGTTCCCTTCTGCGTGTCATGGTTTTGGCCCTGACATTTAGATCTGGGATCCGTTCTGAGTTCATGTTTGCACAGCACGCGAGGCAACGCTGGGCCTTCCTGCCCCGTGTCCCCTGTAGGCGGCCGGCCGTTCCGGTGCCATGGGTTGGGAAGACTGTCATTTCTCCACTGCCGGCCTTTGCACCTCTGTTAAAAACCACACCCGGAGACACACGTCCGGCCGTCTTCCTTCATGTGACGTCGGGACTGGTCATCGGGTGCTGGTGTCTGTAGTCCTGTCCCGTCCGTTACGACGGCCTCCTTGCCTTTCTTCTCATGGTTTTGGAGATTATCGATGGACCATTATTTCATTAGAGGGTGCGAGTTGGTGACATTCTAAATCTACGATCCATCCTTCATTTATTAACTAGAATTATTTTATCTCCAACAGACTTCATCCACTGTTTGGTTCCTCTGAGGTAGTTTTCTGGGGAAGGCAAAATGACACTGGTCTTCTCCTTCTTTGCCAGTTGTCAGAGTAGTGAGCTGATTATCTAACATCCTTCAGTGGTGATCAGTGGGGCGTACTGGTTTGTTTTTTTTGGGGGGAGGTACTGTATAAACTCACAGCTTTTAGTATATTTGGTGTATCTCAGTGCATGCTGTTTGATCCCAAATTGTCACTCTTTGGCTGGGGGGGCCGGGGGGGCTCTTTAGTTTGGTTCTTGCCATGGACGCAGCCACACCAAGGTTCGGGGGTTTTCTTGCCTTTTCTTCGGACGGGGCATCCGCGGCCCATCCACACGCTTCCCGCCCGGGGCCCGGGCCTCGCTGCTGACCCGGCAGGCCTGCTTCTGAGTCGGGGCGTGCTGTTGACAAACCAGTTTGGGTGCTCATCACTGCCATGTTGGCTGGTTTTCATTTTTAGGCTTTTTCAGTAGCAGATCTAGAATTTTTTTTTTTTCTCTAAATGAGAAAAGAAAACATCAGTGCATACGGACATCTCCAGCTCCAGTCTGGGAGTGCGGAAGTTTACCCGGCAGCCATGCTGTTGTGTTTGCACATCTTTCCTCATCGCACCCGGGATGTGGGGTCCAGTCACGTGAGCTGCCTCCTGCCCGTGCCGCTAACCCACCACCTGGAGGTAGAGCTAGGCTCACTTGTGTTGCTTTCACTTTTTAGGATTTGATTCTTAAAATCTTGCTTTAATTTTGTTTTATGAGGGGCACCTGGGGGGCTCAGTCAGTTAAGCGTCCAACTTCGGCTCAGGTCATGATCTCACGGTTCATGGGTTCAAGCCCCGTGTCAGGCTCTGTGCTGACTGCCAGCTCAGAGCCTAGAGCTTGTTTCAGTCTGTATCTCCCTCTCTCTCTGACCCTCCCCTGCTCACGCTGTCTCTCTCTCTCTCAGAAATAAATAAAACATTAAAATTTTTTTTTGTTTTATGATTATGTAAAAACGGATATTTCCTGAAGGCAGATCTAGTGAATAGTGCCCCCCAGAGGCGTCCAGCTTCCATCTTCTATCTGGAGTCCTCTCTTGTCACTGGGGGCTGGGTCCACACCTTTATCTTTGCATTTACACATTGGGAGCACGCGTGCGCACACCTTCCTCCCCAGACTCGTCCTCGCTGCTTGGGAAGGGACGGCCACTGTCCTCCAGTCTGTTGTGCCGGAGGACGCCGTGGGGACCGTCTCGCTGGTGAATCGTTCCACACTTCTGTTGGTGATCTTTGGGATACGTTCCTAGAAGGGGATTGTTTGGTCACAAAGTAAATGCATGTCGAAGACCATTAAAAAATTTTTTTTTAACATTTATTCATTTTTGAGAGACAGTGTGAGTGGGGGAGGGTCAGAGAGAGAGGGAGACACAGAATCTGAAACGGGCTCCGGGCTCCAGCTGTCAGCACAGAGCCCGACGCGGGGCTCGAACCCACGAACCGTGAGATCATGACCTGAGCTGAAGTTGGACGCTTAACCGACGGAGCCCCCAGACGCCCCTCAAAGACAATTTTTTAAACCTGTGGCGTGTAGCACCCTGTAGACACACCCTCCTTTATTTAGCCTCTGGGATTACTGGTGTTACGTCTTATCAGTATTAGTGTAGCCGATAGTGTTAGTAGAGTTTGCAGCTATACACGCTTCTGTGAACATACAACAGTGTGACTATAGCTTTGATGACGTTGGGATTATCTCCTTATGATATTGAGAAAATTATTTCCTTATGCGAGAATCCTAGAAATGGAGCTCCTGGGTCAGCTCGTGGGTGGAATGCCTTTGGTCTCCGCGTAGACCCACGGCAGCTGCTTTTCCGGCCGCCTGCACCCCCTTTCCTCGCCCCGTCCCCAGCCTGCCTTCCCAGCCCATCCATCCGGTGCCCTCTGCCGCCTCGCCTCGGGGACGCTCCAGAGCTGCCCGGATGAATGCGCACCTCCACCCCCCCCCCACGACACTGTCACACACCATGGTGGCACTTGGTGACCTGTTGCCACGCCTCAGATTCTTCCGGAAGTGCCTCTGCGGCCCCCACCCCACTGCTTCATGCAGTGAAGTCCTCGCGTGTCTTCCTGTCCCTTCCATGTTCTTTCGCCTGCTCTGGACTGTGAGCTTCTTGCGGTGGGGGCGGGGGGGATGGGCTGACTTACACCCCCAGTGCCTGGGGCTCGCAGCCAGGGCTCTGAGACGGGGCCCTGTCCCAGGGTCCCAGGTGAGGGCGCGGTGCCAGGGAGGGACGCGGATGTCCCCACTGCGGCCGTCTCCTTGGCCCTCCCGGTGACCTCCAGATGCCCTTCAGCGCCTGCTCTCCTGGGAAGCGGGGCCCCTCTTCCATCTCCCTCTCTGTCCCTTGTCCTGAGCCAGCATTACCTTTCATCCAGGGCCCCTGCCCTTCCCCCGGCCCCACCTCCCCCGCCCAGGGGAAGGGCCCCGGGAGGCCCGGAAATCCCTGCACTCTGCTGGGTTCATGGGAACTGGGGTTGGGCGGCTCCCCCCCCATCTTCTCAGGTCACACCTGCTGGAATCTGACCCAGCGCCCCGCATCTCCGCTGCTGGGGTGGCCGGGCCGGCCTGCAACGTCACCGCCGCAGGGGGTGCCCTGAAATGAGCCCGCGTTGGTATCCCTGACACGCTTCCGCCTTGAGACCCCGGTGACGTCCCCCCTTCCCAGTAAGGCCGCCGCCGGCCGCCCTGGGTCCGAAGCACCGTCCTTCCCCTGCGTGTTCCACACGCACAGCTTTGCTCTTGGGCGCTGTGCCGGCTGCATACTCGGCCTCCAGCACTACTTGTTGACTGAACGAATGTGTTTCTTATGGAAGGTGTTTTTTTTTCCTTTTTTTCCTTAATTTGATTTTAAGAAACTGGTTGCAAAGCGTGGGCCCTGCCGAACGGTGTCTCTCGCCCCGGTGAACCTTGTCTCGCAGGGGCTGTACCGAGCGGACCAGCGGTTTGGGCCGGGCGTGGAGAGCTACGCGGACGGCAGGCAGGACGTGGGGCTGTGGGCCCGCGAGCACCTCATCAAGCTGTGCACCGAGGGTGCCCGCGGCTTCTCCATCCACAACTACCCCGAGTATGCGGGCTTCCTCACGCGCTCTCCTGCCAGACTCAGCCTCGCGGACGAGGCGGAGGTGGACCGGGGCCAGCCCGAGGGACGGGACCCCTTTTTCTACGACTATAAGCGGTTTCTTCTGGACGACGACCTAACTCTGCCTCCAGAGATGTACGTTTACTCGACCGACAACAGCCACCTGCCCATGACCCGCTCCTTCCGCAAAGAGTTAGATGCCCGGGTCTTCCTTAATGACATCCCTCCGTTTTTGGAGGACGGAGAACCCTGGTTTATAAAAAATGAGACCCCCCTGATGGTCACGATGCAGAAGCACGCTTACAGATACAGGCAAGTGCCTCCCTTTCTCCTCCCTCCCATGACGGGCCTGCGCTCGGCGCCCGGCTCCTGGCTGAGCAACTCGCAGGTCACGTGTCGGGTTCACGTGAAGGTGCTTCTGTTTGAGGCCGTCCAGCGATGAAGGGGGAGGGAGAGCGGGGCCCCGCTCCCGGGTCTCGAGGGCGCAGGTGCAGACAGGTGCCGTGCCGTCGGCGTCTCAGGGGCCCGCGGTGCTGCTCACCTGCTCTCGGGGGAGCGGCCGGGGGGCTGCTTGGGGAGCACGGAGCCGGGCGGTCCCTGGAAGGGTGTAGAGCCTTCGGAGGGGCTGAGGCATAGGGTCAGCTCCCGAGCTGAGGGAACCGAGTTCAAACCCTGGCTCCAGGACCCTGTGCGTGTTTCCTCCGTGCTCCAGTGTCTGCGGTCGTGTCTGCGGCTCGTGTTCTGCAGGTCGGTTATGTACACAAGATGCACAGAAGAGGGCACTGTGTTCCCCCGGTGTGTGAGAGCAGATCTGAGCCGAGAGCCCGGGGTGGGAGAGCGGGGCGCCGGAGGGGCCGCGGGGGCCTCTGGCTTCTCGACAACTGCTGGGAAGGATGGCGCTGCTCCACTGGCCTCCAAAGTGCCCCCCAACCCCAGAAAGTAGGCAGCTCCCTAACGAGAACTGACTTTTTAAAGTTAAACATTTTAAGAATATTTTCATTTACTAAACTTTGTCTTCAGATATCATTAAAGTGTTTTAGAATCCAGGGTTTGTAAGCATAAGTGGCTACTTATGCATTCATGTACCCCCCATCCACCCGCCCATCCATCCACCCCTTCACCCCTCCACCCCTCCACCCCTCGATCCATCCATCCGCCCTTCCACTGAGCCACCCACCCCTCCATCCATCCATCTATCAATCCCATCCTTCATGTAGACATCAACTGAGCCAGTAATTGTGGGTACAGAAGCTGCCACAAATCCATAGGTTCTTGACCAGGAAGGGGGTTGTGTGCGCAGGAGGCTGAAGTGTGTGGTGGCGAATGGGCCATGAGACTTGCATGCTCTCTACTCAAATAGCGAAGTGAATGAGAAGAGGTGGATGTGAGTGCTTGGTGCTGAGTGCCAGACTCATGTGTGTGCCTGGCATCCTTGCCACCTAGAACCCTTCCTGCGGGAGCCCCTTCCCCAGCGAGAGCCCCTTCCCCAGCGAGAGCCCCTTCCCCAGCGAGAGCCCCTTCCCCAGCACACACGGAGAGACCGAGGAACCTGGGATTCCCCCCCGTGTCTCCAGGAATAAGAAGGCCCACACCACCTGGAACATGGGTGCCATCTTGGAGGGGGACCGGAGCGCCTTTGCGCACCACGGGCCCAAGGAGCAGCTTTCCAAGGAGATGATCCTGAGGGCCGAGGAAGGGGACTACGACTGGATGTACCAGATCCTCAGGGATGACCTCGCCAGCGCCGACGTGGCCGACGCCAGGGGCTACACCGTGCTCGCCGCGGCCACCGTGAGTCCCCGCGCGGGGTCTCCTCCCCCCCATGGGGCCTCGCGGGGGTGCCTGCCGTCCTCGTGAGGCTGCCCGTCTCCCTGCAGGTTCACTGTCACACTGACATTGTCAACCTTCTGCTGGACAGCGGGGCCGACGTGAACAAGTGCACGGACGAGGGCCTCACGCCCCTCAGCATGTGCTTCCTCCTCTACTACCCATCCCAGTCCTTCAAGCCCAACATCGCCGAGAGGACGGAGCCCAAGTCCCAGGTCAGCCCCGTGGCCCTGCAGCCACGTGCCTGTGTCTCCTCCCAGCAATGCACCAGCCTCCCCTCGCCCCGGCTGCGGGGCACAGGTCAGGTTCAGAGGGGTGAGGAGACACTGAGGCCTGCGGGCGGGGGCGGGCGCAGTCCGGGGCCGGCGTGACGCCAAGCATAGGTGTCCCATGTGAGCCACACGCGCAGTGGTCGGGCCCTGAGCCCCTCCTGCGGGCCTCGGGGAAGGCGACGAGGAGTTGGGGAGCGAGGGCAGGGGTGAGGCCCGCCCGTGCCCGCCGTCGGCGTGAACTGCTCCCGGTGCTTTCGGCTGTAGGCACGGCGGGGGCGGGGGCGGCTGGTCACCCGGCAGTCCTGTGGCTCCTTCGCCGAGGGGCCACTCTGCACCTGGTTCCAGCACGGGTCAGGCCGTCCCAGCCCAGGGCGGGCGGTGCCCGGGCGCCGGGCCCCTGCCGCGCAGGGCAGACCTGGTGTCCGTCTCCTGAGCTCGGCCTGAGGGGCAGCGCCTGCGGGCGGGGAGCCCCTACCCCTGGGGAAACCCTGGACCCTAACTGTCAGCCCTGCGAGGCCGGACGGCCTGGGACTGACGTCTGCCAGGAAAGCCTTCGGAAGAGCTGGGGCTTCCTCCGATCGTGGTCGGGGCCCCTCCTGCGTGGGTGAGGGGGCGGTGCTGGACAGTCCCGCTCGGAGGGGCTCTTCCCTCGCCTGATCGCGCGCTTCTGCGTTTCTTCTTGGGGAAAGCCTGTGCCCGCGGCGCGCAGCCCTCGTCTGCGGCCAGACGCCCCCGCGCCTCTGCTTGTCCAGGGCCCCCGCTCCCGCCCGCGGCTCTGGGCGCGTGGCCGCGCAAGGCCGTCACAGTCCAGGGTGGCTGGAGGCCACCGGCCCGGGCGTGTGGTGAGCAGGTGCACGTGGGGAGCCCGCCCCAGGCCCCGCTGCCCTGGGTGGTGCTGTGTGCGGGAGGCAGGGGTCCCTCGGGACCCCTGTGCTGGAGGTTTGTTTCCGGGGCCGCATTAACGTGTGATTTGTGAGCGCCGTCCTTCCCGGTCAGACTTGCTAACTCACAGCAACAACCAACTTTCGGTTTCAACATGAACGTAGGAACGGGGTGGGGGGGGGAGCATCTGGGGACGGGCGCTGGCTTTGTCCGCACAGCCTCTCCAAGCCCAGAGCATCTTCGGGGGGGCCTGGCCGTAGGGGAAGCCTCAGTCATTGTTGGTGAAGGCAGCGAGAGCCCCAGAAAGCGTTTTATTTGTACACTTAAGACGCTGGTAAAAATCGCTCCCCTGCTTTCCTTTGAAATTGCTGACCCTGGAAGACATCGCATATACACAAAATAGGTGACGGGAGGGGCCCGTGCGGGAGCTTGGGTGGGCCTGTCACCGAGGGCAAGCAGCGGCCAGCCTGTGGCTCCCGCGCCGCGGCCCCACGCCCGCCGCGGCCCCGGCTGTGCGCACCGTGGCGCAGTTCCACGTCAGGTCGCCTCAGCCAGAGACGGGGGCCGAAGGCGCGTTCTTCTCTCTCCCCCTCGACACGCCACAGGCGCTAGCATCTCACCTGAAAATCTTCCCGAGTCCCGAGGGGTCCCTCCAGGCAGTTTCCCCAGGGTCCTGCGTACACGTCCTTGTAGACTGGAGATGGTGCACCCAGACCAGACAAGTTCCCAGGCCGCACGAGGCTGAGAATTCACGCCCTTCCAGCCCAAGGCAGGCTCCCGGCCTTTCCCGGCCTTTCCCGGCCTTTCCCGGCAGCCGGGCCGCTCTCCCTGGCGGCCTCGCCGGCGCCTCTGGGGGGCAGCGCCCCTCTGCCGCCCGCACCCTGTGCCCTAGTCCTGGCAGAGGGCCCTGGCCCCTGGAGCCGCCTCCGTCTACCGTCTGGCCCTTTACAGAGGTGGATCACAGGAGGGTGGGCCCCCGGGGCTGAGGTGGGGCCCAGGGTCTGCATCCCTGGCCACGTGGATGCTGCGGGTCCCCGGGCCACACTGGGGGTGGAGAGGCTGCGGATCGGGCACGCAGGGTGGCCTCCGCGGGCAGGACTGAGGCGTGAGCCCCACTGCCGGTCGTGAGTGTCGTTCAGGTGCCTCTAGGAACCGCCGTAGAGAGAGGTCGAAAGGGTGGAATTGATGTCGACGGTGTATCTTATTTAACCAGCGTCCAGTGTCCCGCAGTGTATCATTTCAGCGTGTCATCAGCATGAAGACAGGGAGACATTCTGCGCTCATCGCTGGCCACACACACACCAGTTTGGGACGGGCCTCAGGTTGCAAGCTCAGCTGCCACGCGTGGCTGGTGGCTGCTCTGTGGCTTAGGCTTCTGTGCGAGGCCCCGGAGATGTGTGCCTCCCTCCCTAGGTTTTGCAAAGTGCTTTAGTGTTGTCAGCTAGAGGCCTTGAAGGCCGCTTCCCAGCCTTGAGCGCTGGCCCCTCCTAGAGAAATTGGTTGGATGGGGCTGTCACTCTGACTTCTTTCTTCTAATTTCTTTCTTTCTCATGTTTTTTCGTTTGTTTTTGTTTTTGGTACTTTCCAAAGGAAGCTCCAACTGTGCCAGTGATTCCCAAACTTTGCTTCTCATTCCCCGAAATGGCCATGGAGCCCATCTGTTTTGAGGACCTGGTGTCCACCCCAGGCAGCCGGGAGCCCGGCGCGTGCGGCAGCAAGGACCTTCTCTCTCCAGGCGCCCGGCTGCCTCGGGGGTCCCCCAGCCCGGGGAGCAGCCCCCGGAAGCAGGACTCCGTGTCCCCGTGTGGCAGCACCAGCGACCTGGACCTGGGGCTGGGCAGCGTGAGGGGCAGTCCGGACGGGCGCACGCTGGGCGGCCTGGAGGCGGACTTTGAGTCCGCCACCTGTGTGCGCGACTTCTCCTTCGAGCTGTCCCGGGACCTCCTGGAGAGGAGCGCCCAGGCCCACAGCGCGCTGAGGGGCCCCTCCTGCAGCGCCACCGGCCCCGACAAGGGCACCGTGAGGAAGATGGCGCTGGCCATGGTGGAGTAAGTCGCTGGGGTGCGGGCGGCGGGCCGGGGGCACTTTCAGGGCCGACCTCCTGCTCTGTGGGCCAGCATCACCTCCCTGGCCACCAGGAGGGGGTGGCTCCAGGGGTGTGTGTCCCACACCCTGAGAGCCAGCAGGGCTCCGCCCCTGGGGGGCTCAGCGGGCGCATTCTGTGCGTGGCTCGCGGCTGGGGCCCAGTTGTGACATCAGGGGGACGGTGACAGTGAGAGGCTAAATGTGCCCTGGCTTCCAAGGTGGGGGGCACCGGGCAGGTGCTCATATAGGTGTGTCCCCCCACCTGCACACCCCCACACGCACCCGCACACACCCATGGACATGCACGCTCACAACCCTCACCTGCACACAACCACATGCACCCACACACCCAGGGACACACGCTCACAACCCTCACCCGCACACACTCACATGCACCCGCACACCCAGGGACACACGCTCACAACCCACACCTGCACACAACCACATGCACCCACACACACCCACAGACATGCACGCTCACAACCCACACCCGCACACAACCACATGCACGCTCACATACCCAGGGACACACGCTCACAACCCACACCCGCACACACCCACATGCCCCCGCACACACCCACGGACATGCACGCTCACAACCCTCACCCGCACACAACCACATGCACCCACACACCCAGGGACACACGCTCACAACCCACACCCGCACACACTCACATGCACCCGCACACACCCACGGACATGCACGCTCACAACCCTCACCTGCACACAACCACATGCACCCACACACCCAGGAAAACACGCTCACAACCCACACCCGCACACACTGACATGTACCCGCACACACCCACAGACATGCACACTCACAACCCTCACCTGAACACAACCACATGCACCCACACACCCAGGAACACACGCTCACAACCCACACCCGCACACACCCACAGGCACCCGCACACACCCATGGACATGCACGCTCACAACCCACACCCACACACACTCATGCACCCTCACACACCCAGGGACACATACACTCACAACCCACACCCACACACACTCACATGCACCCGCACACACCCACATGCACCCTCACACCCCCACGGACATGCACACTCACAACCCACACACACTCACATGCACCCCTACTCACTCACCCATCCCCCACGCACACCCCCACACTTGTCCTACACATTCACACACGCACTCCCACATGGGCTTGCACAACCCATGTGCACACACTTGCCCCCTCACTTGCCCTGCACAGCCGTCCTCTACGCTCACACATGCTGGTCCCCACCGGGTGTCCCAGACCCTCGCAGGGAGTCTGTGGGTGCACATGCTTCTCTGATGACCCTCAGACTTCATGTGCGTTCCCTGCGCGACACCCATGCCGCGTCTCCTCGCCAGCACGCGTGCACAAGAGAGAGCGAGATTGACCCTCCACTTGATGACGCGACAGTGTTCCGTCATCTCCTTGAGCCCGAGTCGGCGCCTCTCTACTCCGTGTGCGTGCGGAGACGGGAGGGGTGCCCGAGGCACGTCTGCCCCAAACCAGCAGGGCCGTGTGCTCGAGGAAGCGCTTCTCCGACCACGACAGTGGTGCAGGGCGCTTGCACGTAAGAGTGACACCACGCTTACACGTGAGATGACCAACTGGCACACCACGGTTGCTGTGCTCACGCACGTGCCTAGCCTTGCACTTCAGCTCATGGTGTGTGTGGCCGGCGGTGACGTTTCAGTGCCGCTCCGGCTCTCAAGTGAAAACGGGAATCTTGGAGCCTGTGCACCCCTCCCCCCCGTGTTGTCTAATGACACGTGTCAGCACCGGGGAGGGCGGGTCTTCCCATGTGACCAGGCCCTGATGTCGCAGACGTGGCATTTTTCATAAATTATCTTCATTCATCTACAAGGGGCTTGTTATTCTTTAAATGTATTAGCGAGTGTTTTAAAAAATTCTCATTTTGTTTGTAATACAACGTGGATGGGTGGAGCCTGTGTGAACAAAGGTTTTGGGGGGTCTTCAAAGGATTTTAGGAGTATAGAGGGGTCCCAAGAGCAGGAAGTTTGAGAGCCGCTGCTTGAGACAGGCGCTGCGTGTCCTGCCTCCTCGCCGGCCCCTCTGGTTCTGTGCCGGGCCGGGGTCAGCAGGGCTGGCCGACCCTCTACCTTCCTGCCCTTAGCTGTTCCCAAAGCCTGCTTGGCTCGTCACCTTGACCTTCTTCCTGCCCGGTGGGGCTGTTGTATATGTATGTACGTGCACTTGTATGTGCAGTGTGTGTGTGTGTACATGTGTTGTCTGTGTATATGGATGCATGTGGTATCCATGTGTGGGTGTGTGTATGTGAGCGTATTGTGTGCGTATATGTGTTCTCTCTGTGTGTGATGTGGCATGTACGTGGCACGTGTGTGCGTGCAAGTGTGTTCTCGGTGTGTATGTGTAGGTATGTTGTGTGTGGTGTGCACATGTGTATGTGGCATGCATGTGAGTTGTGAGTGTGGTGCACATGCGTGTATGTGCACATGTGTGCAGACGCGCATATGTGTTGCATGTGTGAATGTGTGCATGCAGTATGTGTGGTACATGCATGCCTGTGCGGTGTGTGTGGTGTGAGTGTGTGCACGCCTGCACGTCTGGGTACAGGGTGGTGCCCTACATGGACTAGGTGCTCCATGTCATCACCTCATAGCCCCCCTCGTAAGGCTGAGTGAGCACCTGAGGCTGGGGCAGGGCAGGGCTGCGTCCAGACTCGAGCCTGGCGGGGGGAAGCTCAGGTGTGATGAGGGGGCGGCCCTGTTCTCGGGGGCCAACTCAGGTGTGGAGATGGGGGGCCGGCCCTGGTCCAAGGGGGGGGCAGCTCAGGTGTGGAGATGGGGGGCCGGCCCTGGTCCAAGGGGGGGGCAGCTCAGGTGTGGAGATGGGGGGGTGGCCCTGGTCCAAGGGGGGCAGCTCAGGTGTGGAGTTGGGGGCAACCCTGGTCGGGGGGTGGCTCGCAGCCTCGGGAAGGCAGGGCCCTGGGTGGCTCTGGGAAAGGCCGTGAATGCCGGGCCCAGGTGCTACACGTTCCTGAGCCTCCTTTACCAGGGAACGTTGGTCCTGACGGGGGTGCTGTTCTGTGCCTGTCCCCCGGCTGTGACTGTGTCACCCCGGTCCTTGCAGACACAGAAACAGGTGGCTGACCATGGAGCTCCTGCTGCGCCGAGGCGCGGACCCCAACCTGTGCCACGTGCCCATGCAGGCCCTCTTCTTCGCCGTGAAGGCCGGAGACGTGGCCGGGGTGAGGCTGCTGCTGGAGAACGGGGCCAGGACGGACATCCAGCTCCCGGCTGAGGTAGGACCGGGGGGCAGGGGTGCGGGCAGGTGAGGCTGGAGGGGCTCCTGAGCGGCGAGCAGCTGGAGGGCGTGGGTGCAGCCAAGGCTGCAGGCTCTGTTTGCCCTCAGCTGCTGCTCGGGGCCCCTGCCGAGGGCCGGGTGGGTCTCCCAGGCCCAGCACCCCTTCTTTTCTGAGCGTCTGGGAACGTGGCTGCGGGGGAGGGGCATGTCCGTGGCAGACGCGGGGAACCTCGCGATAAGCTTCCAGGGTTACTGACGGGACTCTGCCTTGGGAACCACGGTTGTAGCCAGGTGGCTCGGCTACCGTTCACTTATTCTTGCCTTCATTCGTTCACCCCCACTCTGTTATTTCCACATTCCTCTTCCCAGGGCCGCTGGACTCTATGAAACCCTGGGGGTAGACAGTAGGGGAGGAGGGGGAGAGTGCCAGGAGAGCGCCTGACGTCCTCCGGAATCTTCTCCAAGGGCGCCTCCTGTTTCCCTGGGGGCACAGACAGCCCCCGGCCCTGCCCCCTTGCGCTGCCTGCTCCTGGGGGGCCCCCTCCAGGCTGGCCCCTGGGCGTGCACCTCGTGTGGCCCAGCGGTGGCCGGAGGGCTGCCTGGGCGGGGAAGGGACGGGCGGGCTTCTCCGAGGGCGGGAGGGACCCCGGCTGCAGTGAGGCCGCGCGCTGGGCCCCCTCGCGTCGGCAGGCCCGGCGGATGGAACTGAATGTGGTCCGTGGCCGCTGGGGGCGGGCATCGCGGTGGGGGCCCCGAGGGGGTGGGGCGGGCGGCCACGCCCGCGCCCTGGACGGGGCTCTCAGCCTGGGGGTTTTGCTCACCTGGGAGCCGGACCCTCACCCCTGCCCGCGTGGCCCCTGCAGCTGGGGGCTGTGACCCCCCTGCACATCGCAGCTGCCCTTCCCGGGGAGGAGGGCGTCAAGATAACGGAGCTGCTGCTGCACGCCATCACGGACGTGGACGCCAGGGCGGCCGACCAGGGTGACGTGTACAAGCTGAGCAAGGTGCGCGGTCCTGCCGCGTGGGGGGCGCGGGCCGCGTGGGGCCGGGGGCCGCAGGCCCCATGAGGAGTCTCTGTGCACGGTGTTTCCTTTATTGGCCTTGTCCCCCGTGGGGCCGGTCACTGCTCCCGGGGCCCAAAGCCGGCTGGGGCCGCCCGGCACGTGTGCAGCTCTGCGGCGCCAGAGCCCGGCCGATCCTCTCTGGGGCGTGTGGTGCATGCGCATTAGCATTCGAGAGGGTTCCGCGGGATGGCGCTGGGCCCCACGTCTGTGGAGGAGGCCACCCCTCTTGCTCCACTGTGGGAACACGTCTGTGTGTGAGCCTGCCCCTGCCTGGGTGTCCCCCCAGCCTGGCCGGGCGGGTGCTAAGTGTGGGGGCAGTAGCCGGGGGTCGGGGGTGGGGGATGTACTATGGGGGTGCGGCCTGGGGCCAGTGCGGTCCCCTCCGTCTGTACAGCCAGAGCCGTTACCCTCAAGCCTGAAGCTCAGCAACGAGGCAGGCCCGGACAGCATCTACTGCAGCGGGCACACAGCTGTGCCCGACGAGGGGGGCAGGACGGCCCTGCACGTGGCCTGTGAGCGTGAGGACAGCCACAAGGTGAGCTGGGCCTTTCCAGCCTGAGCGGTGCGCGTGTGCGATGTGTGCACATGCACCTGAACGTGTGCGTGAGTGCCTCGGGTGGTGTGCACACACAAGTGCGTGTACATGGGTGTGTGCGTGTGTGCTTTGTGTGCACGTGTGAGCGTGTCTGTGTGTGCTTGTACTTGTAAGTCGGTATGCTTGCATCCGTGTACATGTGCGACCAGGCTGTGTGTGCGTGCCTACATGATGCAGGCCCGTGTGTCCGTATGTGGTGGGGGCAGGGCAGCGAGCCAGCGGCCTCAGCCACCATCTCTGACGCGGCCCCCAACGTGGTCCTGTCTTGCCGAGCCCTGGGCAGTGGCACTGGGGCCTGCGGCCGCCTCCTGTCTGTCCTGGGGACTGCTTGTCAGCCGGGCGGCGCAGGAGCCTCTCAGAGGAGGCCTAGGTGGGCCTGGGGGGAACCGGGTCCCAAACCTCAGCTCTGTGTTGTAGGGCAGCCAGTGCAGCACAGGCCACTAAGCCTCGGAGCACATGGTAAACTGAGCCTATTTACCCAGCCACAAAATGAAGATCACAGCCGGCTTCTCGGGTCTGGCACGCGTGGTCTGCCCTTCACAGAGTGGTGATCCATCACCTGTTGTGAGGGTGTGAGGGCCTGCGTGAGGGTGGGGGGTGGGCGAGGGAGTGGACGTAGGAGGCATCTAGGCCCCCCTGCTTTGTGTCATCCCTCGTCAGGGCGCCTTGGGCTCCGGCCACTGTGCTGAGCAGAGCCTCCAGGGGGGCAGCCGGGCCCCATGCTGGGAGCAGAGACTGCTGCGGGGGGGGCCGGCTGATGGGCTGCGCGCAGAGCTTCCACACCACACGCCTGTGTCTTTGTGCTGATTCTGGATTTGGAAACGTTATGGGGAAGCAAAGCTAGGAGATACTAGAGGCACCATCACCATTAGGTCATTAGGTCATCAGTGGGTCAAGGGCAGATGGCAGCATCATGCTCTGTGGCGAGAGGTGTGGGCCGCAGCAGTCCAGCCATCAGGCCCGCTTTCCAGTGGGGGGGGGGGGCTTTCCCAGGAGCCCCTCAGCAGACTTGGGCCGGCACCTCCTTGGCCTGCCCAGGGGGTGGGGTGGGAAGGGGCGTGTGCTTGGAGCACCCGGGGTCCGCACACTTGGAGGGGGTGCCAGGCCCTCAAAGAGCCCTTGGGAATTAAAGCTGCAAGAGTCACTTCTCTCGAGCAGTTCCGGGGGAGGAGGAAGGAGAGAAGGGGAAACGAAGGGGTCCTGGGGCAGGAGGGCAAGGAGGTGCCCCTTCTGCTCGGGCCGGGCTTCTGCTGCACACGGGTGTCCCACACGGTCCCCGAGCCCTGGGGCCGGGCTCGCTCCTCTGGCCACGCCTACCCCGTGCCAGCCCTGCTGCCACGGTCGTGGGGCCCCGACTCTGCCCTTTCCCCTGGAAACAAGCCTCAGGGCAATTTGTGCATCATGCGCCCTTCTGCTCTGCGTCAGGAACGATGAATGTTTGGAAAACGCCCTCCCAGTTTGAGGATCCACCGCCCTCCATTCATCCACCCAAAATTCAGAACCGACAAGGTGCTGGCGTGCAGGGGGTAGCAATCAAGTGACGAACTTGACTTTATGGCGTTCGAGCTGACGACCAGTGTCCGGTGCTCCTGGAGTCCGGGCACCTCTGTAACCCGGCGTCCTGCCTTCCTCCTCCCCCAGTGTGCCAGGGACACGGTCCGGCTCCTCCTCTCTCACAGAGCGAACCCCAACCTGTTGTGGAGCGGCCACTCCCCACTCTCCTTGTCCATCGCCAGTGGGAACGACCTGGTGAGCATGTTCCACACCCACCGATGGTTCACCTGCAGCGCTTCTGCCTCAGAGCGGCCCCCTCCCTGCTCAGTCTTGGGGTTTGCTGTTGTCCGTGGCAGTTGAAGGCAGCGTGGGCGATGGGGTGTGGTGGGTCCCCTCCCCAGTGGATGGAGCTCCTCAGCGAAGGGTACAGAAAGGACGGTGAGCAGTGAGGAAGGGGATTCACCTGGGTGGTTGCTCCCTCAGGGTGGGTGGATACACACCTGCTTGTCCCAGGTGTTGACCGAGTGCACTGGGAAAGGCACCGTGGCCAATTCCCATCTCCTGCCGCTGCCAGGGATGTGTATGTTCACCACCCATCCATCCATTCAGCTACCCCCACCCATCTGTCCACACATCTATTCGTCTACTCATGCACACCCACCCATCCATCCAACTACACGTTCATCTGCTCATCCATCCATCTGTGCACCTGTGTATTTATCCATTCTCTTACCCCAACCCATGTATCTACACATCAATCCTTCGATTCACCCACGCCCACCCATCCATCCCTCTGTCCATCCACCTACCCTTTCATCCACCCATCCACCCACCCATCCATCCATCCACCTATCCAACCACACATCTGTCCATCCATCCATCCGTCCGTCCATCTATCCACCCATCCATCCATCCACTCACCCAACCCACTCATCCATCCTTCTACCCATTCATTCTTTATCCATCATGCATCTTTCCTCCCTCCCTTCCTTCTTTCTTTCCTTCCTTTGATCTATAATCCATGCACCCATCCACTCTTTCATTTAACTGTTGTTTTTGAGCATCTACTCTGTGCCAGACAGGCACCGAGGTGTCTAGGCATTAGGTGTCAAATAAAACAAGGTCCTTGCTTTCAAGGATCCTATATTTTAGTTGCAGGAGACAGACCACAATCCAGGGTATCACACAATGTCAGGTAGCGATGAATGCTGTGAAGACAGTAACAGCTGAATAAGGGTATAGAGAATGATGGAGGGTTTTCCTGGGGAGGTGACCTGTCAGCAGAGGCCTGAAGATGATGGAGGCATTGCTGACGAGGGCTGGCGCACCTGCTCTGTGCCCGGGTGGGTAGGTGGGCATGAAAGGGTAGAGAGCTGCCTTCTAGGGGAAAGAAGCTCTTGCGAGAGCCACACACTAGTGTGTGTCATGTCCAGGCAAGCCACTCTCACCCCTGGCTTCCTGGTGGCACTTGGGCCAGTGGCTGGGGACCCAGCAGGGAGCAAGTGCAATGTGCCTCACTTTGCGTCTGGTCAGGTGATCACAGTGGCTTGGGTGCCTGGAGGGCAAAGGCACACCGGTTTCAGGGATGAGGGGCTGACGGGATGTGCGCCAGGCCCCACTCCGGCCCCCGGGCTGGAGAGCAGGATGTGAGCCAGGAGCACTTTGGAGCAGGCGGACAGTGTGCAGAGAAAGTGCCAGGCGTGGGCTGCCTTGGGTGGGTGCAGCCCTCCCTGGGAACCCCCGCATACCCTCTCCCTGCCCCAGCAGCAGTAAGGGGCACAGCAAGTGCCCAGCGGTGGCCCCCGTGAGGCCCCCGTGTGGCCATCTCTGTGCTCAGAACTGCGGATGCCTTGCTCGGGGGCCTGGTGGGGGCTCACAGGCCTGTCTGTGTCCAGATCGTGAAGGAGCTTTTGTCCCACGGAGCCGACCCCAACCTGCTGCTGACCAGAGGCCTGGGCAGCGCCTTGTGTGTCGCCTGTGACTTCACCTATGAGCACCAGAGGAGTGTGGACAGCAGGCTGGCCTTGGTGAGGGGTGAGGGCCGACCGCGCAGGGTGGGTGTGGGGGGCAGCAGGCCCTAGGGCGTAGGGTCCCTTGGTCCAGCCTGCATTCCTCTGTGGTGTTCAGATCCTTGAGAAAGAACACCGAATCCTTGTTTTTATATTATATCGGCCTAAAAAGTGTCAAGTTCAAACCTGCTCAGCAGCCCAGACAGAGGCCTGTCTCAGGGAAGGCGTAGGCCGTCGCCCTGGTTTGGCTGCAGGATTGTAGCTGCTAGGTAGAGTGGCCATTGGCCTGGTCTCCTGGTCAAGGACCTGCTGGAGAGGCATTGGGGTGCTGTGTCCTGGGCAGGGACCCGGGGTCCTGCGTCCTGGTCGTGGCCATGGCCTGTCGGTGCTGGGTCTGCCTTCCCGGTGGGCTCAGTGAGGCCAGGGGGCACCCTGTGCTCGTAGGTCCGGGGAGCCGTGCTGTTCCCTGAGCCCCCTTCGGTCTTCTCGGCTGCTCTGGCCCCGCCAGGTGCTGAGGCACGTCCCCCGCTGCCCCTCACCGCCCCCATTCCCGCGCTCGGCCTTCCACGGCCCTTTCCAGGGCTGTCCCTTCCCTCACCCACGGGGTGCGGCTCTCCGCGGGCCTCTCCCTGCCCTGGCACCAGCGGGGGACCCTCTGTGGGTCCTGAGAGCTGTGAGCTCCGGAGAAGAAAGCAGAGGGGAACGATGCCCTGATTGCTGGAGGCTGTCGCCCTCGACAAAAGTATAACTTCACGTGAAAAGAACTAAGACTCCTTTTCTTGCTTTTCAAAAATTTTCACTTAAATTCTAGCTAATGTACAGTATAAGGTTGGTTTCAGGAGCAGAAATCAGTGATTCATCCCTTATGTACGGCACCCAGGGCTCGTCCCAACAAGTGCCTTCTCGGTGCCCATCCCCCATCTAGCCCCTCCCCCACGCCCATCGGCCCTCAGTTTGTTCTCTGTTGTTAAGAGTCTCTTGTGGTTTATTTCCCTCCCCCCACATATGTTCATCTGCTTTGTTTCTTAAAGTCCACGTATGAGTGAGATCACATGATGTTTGTCTTTGTGGCTTATTTTGCTTGGTGTAATATTCTCTAGTCCATCTATGTTTTTGCAAAAGGCAAAATTTCCTTCTTTTTGACGGCTCAGTAATGTTCCATTGTGTGTATGTACCACACCTTCTTTGTCCATTCATCAGCCGCGGACATTTGGGCTCTTTCCGCACTTTGCCTATTGTTGTAGTGCTGCTATAAACACTGGGGTGCATGTGCCCCTTTGAATCAGTATTTTTGTGTCCCTTGGGTAAATACCTAGTAGCGCAATTGCTGGATAGTTTCTCGAGGACCCTCCACGCTGTTCTCCAGAGGCTGCGCCAGTTTGCATTCCCAGCAACCGTTCCAGAGGGTTCCCTTTCCCCGCATCCTCACCAACACCTGTTGTTTCCTGTGTTGTTAATTTTAGCCGTTCTGACAGGTGTGAGGCGGCATCTCATCGTGTTTGGATTCGTATTTCCCTGATGACGAGCAATGTGGGGCATCATTTCTTGTGTCTGTTGACATCTGTGTGCCTTCTTTGTTTTTGTTTTTTTTATTTTTTTAAATGTTTTATTTCTGAGAAAGAGAGAGAGAGACCGCGTGAGCAGGGGAGGGGCAGAGAGAGAGAGAGACACACACAGAGTCCAAAACAGGGTCCAGGCTCCGAGCTGTCAGCACAGAGCCCGACACGGGGCTCGAACCCACAAACCGTGAGATCATGACCTGAGCCGAAGTCGGACGCTTAACCGACTGAGCCCCCCAGGCGCCCCTCTGTGTGCCTTCTTTGGAAAAGTAAGATTCTTTTTCTTGGGGTTCTATTTCCAGATCCCATTTTGAGGCCCCTACTTTTACCCTGACCGTGTCCTCTGAGCACCTGGAAACGCCTGCAGGCGTGTTTCTGGGACCCCTCAGCGCTGCACCCGGGGTTCGGGGCGGCAGCCCTGCGTGGCCCCAGCTTGCCTCCATGGTGGTTTGGCAGGTGGAAGGACCCTCTTCACCCTTAAAGTGTCTTGGACCTTGGGAGCCTTCCTGTGTTCCCCTGAGCCTCTGATGTCTGCTCTGCTCTCTGGTGACCAGGGACCCCCCACCTGTGGGTTCCTGCCCCTGGCCCCAGATCAGCCACCCCAGTTGGTTGGTCAGTGATTTCATTGCTTAAAATTTATTCACTCAATCATTTTTATTAAAACAAACATAAAAGTTAAAGGCACAGCCTGGGGATGCCGTGTTGTACCCGTGACTAACACCTCGGCTCGCCACCTGCGCCTTCCGGGCTCCCTGGCACTTTCCCCGGAGCCGGGGCGTCTGTCACGCTGCCACTCCAGGAAAGTCCATGTTTATCGGGTGTTTGACGGGGCTGTGCGGCAGCCGGGCCTCCCCAGCCCCCCAGGGTCAGCCCGCGTTCGACCGCATCCGTCGACCCTCCTGCCCTGACCCGGGCCTGCAGATTTGGAAGCCACCGCGTGTCCCCTCCCTGACTCCTGAGCAAGTCCTTTAAGCCGGCTGCCTGCCCTTGCGACCGTGGCTGTGTCTGTGAGTGTGAGCAGCACAGAGGACGACAGAGGCCGTGCGGGGGGCCGGCTTCCTCCCTGTACCCCCCCAGTAAAATGCACCCCCCGTCCCTGCATCCACAGCTAAATGCATGTGTCTGGGGCAGGGATCGGGAACAGGAGAGGCCTTCAGCGTCTCTGGTTCTGGCCGCGAACATGGTCGGCACATTTGGGGACGGCTTGGGGCCTTCTCCCCGCGGGCACCGTGCTCTGCCGGCTGTTTGGGGGCCGCCGTGCATCCCGGAGCGGCGGCCCCGCAGGGCTGGGGGCCCACGACAGCCTGGTTTTCGTCTGGTCGTGCTGGGCCGCGCCGAGCCCCGTGGTTTTGTGGTTTTGTTAAGATGCTACTAAAACTATAAACCCGTGAAACCTTGTTCTGGAACCCACCGCCTCCCTCCTCGGCGTGGGGGTGGGCACCTCTGTTGGGCGCCATGTGCGGTGAATGAAACGGGGGTTAGCCTCGAGCCGGAGACCTTGCGGTGGTGCGGCCGGAAGTCCCTCACGCCGGCCTACGGACTCACCGGCACCTGTGCGTGCGCACCTGTGCGCCCCGTCCCCGCGCGCCCCCACCCTCCCGTCCCCGCGCCCCCCGTCCCCGTGCCCCCCACCCCCAGTCCCCGCGCCCCTGTCCCTGCGCCCCCCATCCCCAGTCCCCGCGCCCCCCTGTCCCCCCGTCCCCGCGCCCCCCCACACCCCCGTCCCCGCTCCCCCCGTCCCTGCGCCCCCCATCCCCAGTCCCCGCGCCCCCCGTCCCTGCACCACCCCTCCCCAGTCCCCGCGCTCCCCCTCCCCAGCCCCCGCGCCCCCCGTCCCTGCGCCCCCCTTCCCCAGTCCCCGCGCCCCCTGTCCCCAGTCCCCG